AATCCTCAGTTAATATCGGTATAATGAGTGATCTCATTTTGTTATGAGAATTTCCATTCTCAGATTGCTGTTAGACATTTTTCACTTCATGAACCCAGTCCAGAATATTCGGTCTCATTTGACCTCTTGAACTCTTTATTACGTCGAGTCTTGCCCATGGGATTATAGGTATGCACTTTTGAGGAGTCTGATACTAGGACGAAACCAATGTATTAGTATAAATATGATAGCATAAAATACGTTTGATTTTTTCTCTAAGTAGCTAATTGGATAACACAATAACGTTTGATGCAATTTATAATGATTTACATTATATATATAAACTGGGATTAGTCATCAGAAACTATATAAAATCACAAGTAACCTAATTTCCCATATCAGGACTAGAACTCATGTCACTAAGGCTCACAGTATGAGACGTCATTACTGATCTACTTAGATTGATTAATCATAAAAATATACCAATTCTATATTCCTTATTCCCTTAGTACAGATCAAATCAAATCACTTAAACTAGTGGAAACATTGCAGACTGATTAATAGAGTTCGCTACACATAAATGATTAGACTTACATGATATTGGTTACTACTATCAGATAAATGTACGTCCATATCAATCTCAAACAGGACTGAACACACAACCTAGATTCCATAACTTGCTGTTCTCTATCAGTGGCTAGCAATGGAACACGGAACATATGTTTAGCCCAATTCGGAAATTGTCAGCTAAATATACTAACATTGCAGTGTTAATATACACACTGAAATATGAACTCACCATCTATCATTTTAAACACATATTATCTACCAAGCTATTGAATCCAGATAGTTACCAAAATATTCAACTGATGCAAAACCATTTGTAAAGATTTACATTTTCTCACTGTTTAATACAAACCGTTACAAAGTATAATTAATGTTCAGGCATGCATAATCACAAATACTCACTGCTGAGAAGTCCAGTATTAGAGTGAAACGCTAATTCAGTATTTCCAGGTTTTCTTTGATATCCCAACCTTGATAATTCTACAATCTCCATAAATCTTTCTTAATTAAAAGGCGAGACTATAATTTGTGGACGGCGATGCTAAAGTGACATTGAAAATGCCCACCTGCTTACTAGTACCAAATGAGTTTTACAAAAACCAGGACGAGGAACTAGAATTACGATTTATAGTTAATGGTTAAGGTTAAGAATTAGATTAAGGGTTTTCATCACGAACTGACATCAGCTATAATACCGAAACTCTCATTTTTAACCAAATGGATGAGTGAATTTCGTGCCAAAACCCAAGACTCCTTATCTTATATCTTATTGGTTCATCCATAAATTATAGTCTCGCCAATTAAAATAATAAGATGGTTGTTTTGTAAAAAATAATGGATAGTGGCTAGCAGTAGAATCCAGGACGCGCGTTTCGTCCTATCTGGGGCTCGTCAGCTCGGTGTATCTGCATCTCAGAGTTGATGTTCACTCTGGGACTCAAACACAGTACCATTCACTCCAAACGCCACCACGTTACTGACATCCACCTTCTTGTGCAATGGATTGAAGTTTAAATTCACTTGGTGTTGTTTTACTAGTATCTTTCCATTGTTATTTAAGACTGTAATTGATCAGTCTGTTATTGGCATATATGTATCTCGTAAGAATTGCCTCGACATTGCCTTAATTCACAAGCTTTTATAAGCAAAAATAGGACAAAGCGCACGTCTTGGATTCCACTGCTAGCCCCTATTTTTCATCGTTTCCATCTTTGCTTATAAAAGCTTATGAATTAAGGCAATATCGAGGCATGCGCACAGTATGGACATATGCCAATAACAGACTGATCAATTGCAGTCTTAAACCTCAATGGGAAGATACAAGCCATACAATACCAAGTGAATAAGATCGTTTGCGATTATTAAAGTAATGATTTGTTTTTTTTTTGGGTGTATTATTTGACCCTTCATAAATGTGTTTTGAACAAAACATTATGTGAAATGTATTTCCTTCATAAAACTGAAATACATATATAAATGTAATTTATGAATAATTGTAACTTGGTATAATTTATTTGATGCATGGAATAATGAATTAACAAAGTTCATTTTTACCAAAATTTACAAATGAACAGATTTTTTCTTCTTTCTACACACATTTCCAAATTTTTTTTGTTTTAATATACATTTGAGGGGGGGGGGAATGATTGAAGTTAGATGTTTTCAAACAGAATTATCATGCTTATTATTAACTGTTTAATTAATAGGTAAATTACAGTATACATGACTTGTATTACATTGTAATGACTTTGCTTTGTTAATCGATCACCTTGATAACTGTTATACTATAAATCTCAATGATGTTTGAAATCAGAAGACACAGAGAAGCGACAAGTAGGATCTTTGACCTTCTAAATACCAATTGGCATATCGACTAGTGAACAATAATCAAGATGTTAACGCTTTTTGATTCTTGGGCCAATCAGATTACGAAAGTAGAAAGTAGATCAGTACTGTACTATACTCAGTTTAATCATGAATCAGAACTCATACAATAATATTACCTGAAATACCCAACCATACAGCAACACAGAGAATTACATTGTCATAAGTGATAAAAAACCAATGTCGTAGGGGAGTAATTAATTGATGAAGAATCTGGAGTAATAGAACTTATGACAACAGCTTATGGATCAAATGAAAGTATATAAATAGACTTACTAACTTAAGCCTGTTACTCTCGTGGAGGAGCGTCGGCCAACCACCAGCTTCCTCCACCTAACTTTGTCCTGCGAAATCACTTCTAGTTCTTTCCAATTGCTATTCATCTTATTAATGTCTACTTCCAATTCTCGACTCAGTGTATTATTTGGTCTTCCTCTTTTCCGTTTCCCTTCAGGATTCCAAGTTTGAGCTTGCTCCGTGATGCAGTTTGATGATTTCTTCAATGTGTGTCCTATACACTTCCAATGTCTTTTCCTAATTTCCTCCTCAGTTGGAGGTTGGTTTGTTCTCTCAGAGTTCAATCAGACACACATAATTTTACATAGCGGGTCAAATGTATGCATTACAGCAAATAGACAAATAATTTTAAAAAATTCTACAGGCATGCTATAGGTAAATGTTACAAAAATGGAAAAAAGTATTACCATTTTCAACCAATGGATATCAATATTTTGAGACTATGTGGTTGGAGATAGTCTGCGTGAAATCTCTTCTTGAATACGATTACGTATTAGCTAGCAATCAATGATAAGAATTACTAGCAGTCTTTACAAAATCAATGTTTGTTGCTGGATTCAGAATTCAAGCAGAACAGTTACACAATCGGCGACATCATCATTCATCAATACTAGCTAACAGTAATCTACTCTAGAATGAAATATTTACACTGATTAATCACTGAGTAGTGATAATATAACCTTAGCTATTACTCAACAACAAATCAATGTTAAGATCAGTTTTATTTTTTTTAAAGACATAGATGTGTTTGATTACATTTATCAAAGAATTTTCTTTAAAAATTATTAATACTCAATAATGTTACTTACCCTATAGTAATTTAATTGTTGAGTTCATGAGTCAATTAAAGCTAGACAACCATGAGAAACCTGGAAGCACTGGATGGTCGTTCTGCCCTAGTTTTGGGCTCTTCAGCAGTGCGCATCCACGATCCCGCCTTACAAGACTCAAATCCAGGACTTATCAGTCTCATACGCGGACGGTTAACCTCTAGACCACTGACTAACCTTAATCAATCCAAGTCAGTGAGTTACTTACTCTTAACAGACCCTGTTGAACTTCACTGGTCACTGCTTCTTACTAGAACTCCAGGACATACCTCTTGAAGCCAGTCACTAGTGATCATATAAGGATTATTCATAGAAAGGGCTTTTTGTGTTTATTAAAACAGTGTTCCTCAATCAAAAATGTTTAACTTTAGTTTTTCAAAAAAATAAATATGAAATTTTAATGTATTATAATTAACTCTTTACACTTGAATTGTCTATGGAAAAACAATGACTTATTAAGTGTATTATTTGCTGATAAAAACAATATGATTGAAACTATTGAATAATGTAGAAAAGAAACAAACAGTGTCAGGTAGCCCTTTTCTCCTTTCATATTAAAATGATCTTTCTTTTATCAATGTCTAATAGAGTGACTAGATATCAACTCATTATTATCATTAGTTCCATTTCACAAAAGAGTTATTCAATAATAATAATAGATTGAAATCATGAGTCAGTTGAAGCTAGACCACCATTGAAAACCTGGAAGCACTGGACGGCCGTTTCGTCCTGGTATGGGACTCCTCAGCAGTGCGCATCCACAAACCCGCACCACCCGGGGCTCGAACCCAGGACCTACTGGCTTCGCGCGCGAGCACTTAACTATTAGACCACTGAGCCGGCATCCAACGGTGTTAATGTCTAACTTCAACCAATCCACGAAGTTGCGCTACCGTACACCATTGTCTTCCGTGAGTTCCTATCTCACAACAGACCTGGTTGAACTCCACTGGTAACGACTTCTCACTAGAACTCCAGAAGTGTCTCCTGAAGTCAGTCACTAGTGAGCAGTTGATTATTATTATCAGAATGGGTTTTGTGGAGATTTTAGAAATTTCACAGATTGAAATCATGAGTCAGTTGAAGCTAGACCACCATTGAAAATCTGGAAACACTGGTTAGACATTAACACCGTTGGATCCGGGCTCAGTGGTCTAATAGTTAAGTGCTCGCGCGCGAAGCCAGTAGGTCCTGGGTTCGAGCCCCGGGTGGTGCGGGTTCGTGGATGCGCACTGCTGAGGAGTCCCATACCAGGACGAAACGGCCGTCCAGTGCTTCCAGGTTTTCAATGGTGGTCTAGCTTCAACTGACTCATGATTTCAATCTGTGAAAATTTCTAAAAATCTCCACAAAACACATTCTGATAATAATAATAGTAATAGTAATTATAATAATAGTTTACTAGTGTCTCTTAATGGTTTATTTATTTTTATTTTTATACAGTATTCAATATTTTATTGGTTATAATCGATCATTATGGTTTACTGTAACACCATGTACAAATTTATTGAATCGTATTGAATTTGTTGGATCATCTGCTTATAATGAACCATGGGAAGAAAGTAAAGATTATGGTTTACAGTTATCGAAATCTGATATATGTGAGTATAATTTTAATGAATATACTTTTCTATTTGAATATTTATTTATTTATTTAAACACATAAACATTGGTACAAGGAGGCAGCAAATAGATATGCGTCACATAAATCATTAGATTTGTATGATAGCTGGGATACTGCCCGGACTCCCTAACTGAAGCAGGTGGTTTTCTTAGGGGGCCACATCCGAAGCGTTTGACCCAAAGATCTGATTCACAAGGCAGTGAAGCAACGTCAGGAGATGCAGTCCCATGGTAGCTGGTAGATGTTTATCCTCAACTCTTATTAGATCATTTAATTCTATTTGTTTTTACAACTATTTAGGTACATGTTCACGATTACTCTTCAGGCTGTTCGAAATGTATTCCACAAATATGTATCATCACACATTTCTGATAATCTTTGTCTTTCTATTTCTTATTAATTCTGTTAATATTAAATATTTATTTAGAATTAAATGTAAGTACAAATGCACATCATGTACTGAACTGTGTTTGTACTAGTATTACAAATTATTCATCTGATATCCAGGAATAATTCACTAACGTGTATTGATAAATATTCTTCAACTATATACCGTATAGTCTTGTATCATTTTTATTTGTCATTATTGTACCCACTAATAAATATGTTTCCATTAATTCAATTGTGTTCATGTGTTGAATGAAACTGTTTACTTATTTCATGTCATTAAATAAATTACCCTGTAGTTTATTCATACAGGACATTAGAATCAAGATCTTCATTACAACATGGGACATGAGAAGAGACTAGATTTTTCTTACTCATCAATCAATGAGACTATAATTTATGGACGACCTTTGAGCGACGCTAATGTGACCTTGAGAGTGTCTACCTACTTACTAGAGCTAAATGAGGGTTATAAAGCAGTTTGAAGAATAAGAATTATGATTTACAGTTGATGGTTAGGGTTAGGAATTAGATTTAGGGTTTGCATCATGAACTGACATCAGCTATAATGCCAAGATTCTATTTAGCTAAATAGGTGAATGAATTTCGCACCAAAATCTAAGACCAGTTATCGTAAATCTGATTGGTTCGTCCATAAATTATAGTCTCCCCGCTGAATTTAAGCGGAAAATAGGTAAAATCATTGGAAAATTAAATTAGATATTATGATTGAAGTCCATTATTTGAATTGAATACGATTCATGCTATTGAATGGATCTTTGAAAAAATGATCTTTACCTTTAAATCAATTGAACTATTGTTAAATATTGAAATATACACAAGAAGTATACAAATAGTTAGGTATTTAGAAAATCTTCGATCAATTTTAATTAATTCGATAGATTTCCTGAATTATTATTTGGTCATGATTTATGAAGTTCATCCATGTAATAACAAATGCATAACAGATTTTATTGGTGATATTCAGTAGTGATCTCACATTATCACTGATTAAATGAAGTTGTAAATGTGAACTATTTAAATTTTGACTCAGTAGTTTATCTCATTAATAGACCTGAAAGTCTTCGGTTTCATCTAGTGTAGATAGTCAAATATAAATTACCTACTGGGGAGGAATTCCAAACTATTATGAAACATTTATTCAATACATTTTGATTGTCCCTAAGTTTCTTCATCTGTAAATATGATTGATGACTTAAAATAAAAACTATCATGTATGGTAGTTACTGGGTCACCGAATAGAAGAAACTTAATCATATTTCTATGAAATTCCAATGGTAAAAAAGTAAAAAACTTTCAAATAAATCAGAGATTTCTCTGTTCCAGTTACTCGATGAATAAATAAGTAGTACATCAATGTTTGTTTATTCAACAGACAATGATTGATCAATTAGATCACCCCGTGCTAACTATGGAATCTTAAAATTCTGCTTATAATTATTACATAATACGTGAGTTCACACAGAATGATTATGCATTTTAATGACTAGAAATCAACTACTTGATTGAAAATTCAGATTTACAAACATTCTGTCAAAATAAAATAAATTTTCATCTTCAGTGATACCATAATTCCAGTACTCATCAATTCGAGTTTCGAGGCAAACATAAACTCTAGGATGCAGGCACATCCAGCTGACAAGTCCCAAATAGCACGAAACGCACATCCTGGATTCCAAAGCTAGCCATCATCTGTCTTCGTTTACAATATCACTTAATGTTAATAGATCTTGTTTATATGAATTTTCTCTTGGTGGATCTTCACCTTATCAAACTGAATATGTCATTGAGTGTTTAAATACGCCAATCAATATTAAAGAATAAAGAAAAGTCATCAGTTCACTGTGTAGATTAATATTTAATTTGAAGTTAATTAATTAAAGACTCTTGATATTTGAAGATTTCTTTTTATAATTGTTATATCCTAGCGAAGATTAAATTATGAGTAAATTCTGAGACCTTTTAATGTACTAATGTTACCTATATATCCCTATTGCGTAATTGTTCAGTAACTAGATTGTGTATATTTATATTCATCTTATTATTATAATCTTCGTTTTGACCTATAGATTATTATTGTACGATTTACTGTTCTTAAATTATACTCAGTTTATTAATTACTGTCTCCCACGTTTACAGCCACATTTTGGCTTTATTGTGTAAAAATGTTATTTCCTATTTTATGGTGAGTTGCGGTCTGTTTGGTTGATATATAAACCCAATATGTCTGAAATATATGATTCGCACAGTGGAGGCTGTTATTAGCAGTCTAGACCCGACCGGACAGGCTAGGCGAGCAACGGACCATTAGAACGCTAGGCTGATCAGACCGGACGAACGTCATTGATTTAGTACAGTACAATAGTGAATAAGTCGTATTTTGATTGACGAATAAATTACGTGATAACTAGCGGGCCATGAAGACACAACAATAAGGAATTGAGAATTATTAGAAATCACTTCAGAAATTGTTTAAAACTTAATTTGAATTAGTTTTTTTCGGATTAGCGTTAGTTAGCGAGTTAGTTTTCTACAGGATGGGGACGCTAACCCCATGCCCAACCCTCCTTCTTTGTCCGGATTGGGACCAGCAGTAGACTCAGAGGGGCTCCAGGAGGAGTTATTTAAAACTTAAAACTTCAGCTAAATGAAAATTGAAATGTCTTTTCTATTCTATAAAGAATTTAGAGCATGTTCATGAATAATAGATAATGATAGCTTGAACACTAATGGAAGACTTTTAAATGTATTCAACAATCTTGACACTTCAAAAAAGTCTAGTTGATAGTGTTTTGTAAAGATTAGTTTCATTTGTATATTGTATTTGATAAAGGCTGATCTCATTTGAAGTATCAATGAAAATTGGGGTGTTGATATGAGGTTTCTTAACAATACTCGCCTATGAATCTGCCTAGAGTAAAATCTAAAGCCTACAAATTTGGCAATGAACTGTTCAAAAATCCATTTAAAACATTAAGTTCAGTTAACATTAAGTGTACGACCATTAGCAATATGATAGTCTGAATAGGATAATTAAAATAAACAACACAATATTTAATTTCACAAACGATACATTGGTTAACATTAGAATAGGTGTTTCAGATATAAATCAGGTAAGAAACTACTTTTACACTTTATTAATGCAGAAACGGATGGCTTATCACTATATTCAATATTTTGACTTTAAGGTAATCTGAAAAACAGTATTCAATAGGCGCATGTTGTTCTGTTAAGAACTTATCAGTTGAATATGAAAAAAAGTACATGTGCGCTGCTATGGAGTCCCATACTAAAGTAAAACGTCTGTCCAGTGCTAACAGGTTTTCACTGGTGATTCATAATCTTAATCCAAAACTTAACAATCTCCACAACCTCATACTGAGATGATTATTTACCTAATTGGTTTGATATTTATTATTAAGTTAGATGTTCTGAAGTGCCTAATGAGTTTGGTTATTGAATCAGAGTTACAGTATGATCAGGTCAATGCAAAAAAGCATGTATATCCCTTTTTTTCAGTTGTACAAAAGATGAAAAGATCTTTACAAAACTCATTTCTATCCACTATTTAAAGTAGATAATTATAGAAAGATCTGTTTAAAGAGTTACATCAAATGCAGCCTTAAATATTTACAGAAGGAAAATATAAATCTTTCAAAGGAATGATGATCGATATAACTGAAGTGTAGGATTACTAAAATGTTGATTACAGTCAGATGAATTATTTATTAAAAATATTCAAAAAGAAAACAATGATAACTTATCAAAACATGAAAAAGTTGTCATGAAGTGATTAGCTGAAAAAATTGTGTTTCAATTCATTTCGAGCTGAATGATTTGATGATATCAAGGTCATCATATGGACTAGAAATCCATTATGATCTGATCCTTCACGAAGTCAGATATTTTACATTATTAAAACATTAAACTAAAAAGGCAAAACAAAAATTTAGGGTTTTTCTATGTTTGTTACTTTACTGAACTGATAAATTTTAAAAAGTTTGAGTAGAAGATCGCATCTTAAGAAATGAAAACGAGTTTATTGTTAAATTAGCACGAACATGATTTGCATAAATTTTAAAGGATACATATATCCGAACAAAAACGGATCAAAATTTATTCCTGATTATCAACAACGTGATATTTTAGACATTCACTAATAATAAGCTGAGATAATTGTGGCTAGCAGTGAAATTCAAGACGCGTGTTTCGTCCTATTTGAGACTTATCAGTTGAATGTGACTCCAGCCTAGAATTGATGTTCACTTTGAGACTTGAACCCAGTACCGTTCGCTTTAAACTCCATCGTATTATCCAATTAGATACTGAATCCACATAGCCACTAGCTTATGCAATGTGGTGATATTTAACTGATTTTTGTACTGATTGTTTGAATCTTCTCATTGATGTTTAAGACTGCAATAGATCAGTCTGTTATTAGCATATGTGCACACTCTACGGATTACCTCGATATTGCCATAAGTCAAAATCGTTATAAGCTAAGATGATGATGGCTAGCAGTAGAATTCAAGAAACCCGTTTTGTCTTATTTAGGAATTTTTATAAACGTCGTACACATCCAACAATTTAATGGCTACCTAAATTTAACAACTCAGTAAATAACACGTTTACGTTTGAAACATAAGTTAATGGATTCAATCCTAAATGTGAACATTATCACAGGAATATAGAAGATACATCCATCTGAATAGTCCTTAATCAGTCGAAACATATATCCTACATTTCATTACTAGCTATAATCCATCTATTCTATAATTTTGACTTCTTGTGAAAATTTTTGTTAAATTGATTTTATATAATAATTAGGTAACCATATGATTTCATTGTTAGTAATATATGATTATGATTATGATTATGATTATTACTATTTTGCTCTACAGATTCTGTAAATTGGCCTCAACAAAAAATTCGTGTAGAACCATTTCCAAGTGAAACAAAATTACCAAATTTCACTTTAATTAATCAAGGTGATACTATTCTAGGTTTAACACGTTCAAGATTACATTTTACACAAATTAAATATAAAACAGATAGTTTAAATGTACGCTTATATGGTAATATTGGTGATGCATATAATGTACGTCTTAGTACACGTAGTTCACCAAAACATGCTTTAGATGGTTATCCAGAATTGGATAAAACTTCAACTATATCTGTATGTTTAGTACAAAATACAAAGTATGTTCATTAATTCTTCTCATAAGTAAGATTTTAATAATAATTTTTTTAATTATTATTATGTTATATTGTTAATTATGTGTAGATATTCATATTTCCTTTTCTTATGAAATTTCTATATTTTCTGCTTATATGTCAATAATCTTTCATGAAAAAACTGATGTTAGCTTTAAGCAATAGATGAGAAGAATATACTCTATCTATATGCGTACCCAGAAGCAGTCTATGTGATAGTATTCTATGATTGTGAAAGATTATCTACGAATGTAGAAAAATATGTTCAAGCTAAATGGTTGTGACCATGTGTTTCTGTAAAATATTCCTCGAGTATTAAGGAACAACTAAATGAAGTCAATGTACTGGTCATAGATGAAAAATCCATTGATGAGGTAGTTAATCTTTATCAGCTGGATAGATGGTAAAACTAATCACTGCCTAACACAGTACTTTTTGCTAGGTGAATTTCTGATTAGTTGAAAGAACATTCGAGGCACTTAAATCAAAATATGATATCAGTTCATGAACTTATTAACTGTTAGTATAATCCATTTTGGTAGATACAAACTACTTGATTGGGATCATTGTAATAACCACTATAAGTGGCTGAAGACGTTGGATAACATGTCTGAGACTCGGTCTTCATAGTAATAATGTATTCATTCAAAATCTTAAGTACCAATATCTCATTAAATAATTTTTCATTCCTTCTCCTAAACTATATTTTTCAATGTTTAGTTTTTATAATCATCATCTTAACTAAATTTTTTAAAATTTTCTTTGGTAGTTACCTTTTAAAATTCATTTAATTGTCCTATTGTTGTATAGTAACCTGGTCCATTGCATATATGGCTCAAGTTTGACTCTGACTTTGATTGATTGATTCTATATTCGTGTAAATTTAATAAGACAGTCATTGGTAAATTGATACAACATAACTTGCCTCATTTTAATCCATATGGTAGTTGGCTGACATTAATCCAATTATATATATAGTCAAAGTATAATCTACAGTTGGTTAAAACTGTGTACAAAGAGTTGTATTTTGCTTATATAATGATAATTCACAGTCACTAAACTGATGTTGTCTTTTGGTAATACCAAAATCAAAATGAGATCTAATAATCTAGAGAAGGAAGGTTGTTCGCTATCTATATTTCCATTATTTAAAACAACACATTGTCTATTATCTCATTAATTCACTTGATAAAGTGTTCCACTTCGATGGTGAATTATAGTTATCAAATTAAAATTATGCTTATAGTAGACACAGTTATATAATAAACCCTTGTGAACCAGGGTAATTTTACATTGATTTTAAGGAGAACCGGACACCATTTGGACTTTCACGTGACAGTCCAAACAGTACAACTCAATCCTGTTTATAGTAGACAATCATTTCAATGTTTTATAGCTTAGGCTTTTATATATCGAATTAAATATATGTGTTTTAAATATTCCTTTGGTTTGAAACATTCTATTCTACTCAAGGCATAGAATAAACATGTCTTGTGTTAAAAATGAAATTATGTATACGATTTTCATTCATCTAGAAAATTATTGTAATCACTACTGTACGTTTTTTTTAAGTTCGTTTATGTCACTTCCTTGTGTAGTGGGAAATTTCGAGAGGTCATTTTAAAAGTCCTAGTGGGAAGATGTGGACAGGGTAGTTCAACCATATTGGGTGTTAGAGAGTTAATTAAATGACAAGTAGCATTGGTGAAAGATCGAACAATATCGTGAACTGACTAAAATTAGATTCACTGACCACCAGATGCATGTTCAATGGTCTGAAAGTTAATCTCTTACCACTAGATCAATTATTCGAACTCCAATCGAATTGTGGATGCATGTTGCGATTGATATGTCCAACACTCTGATCAAGTATCTGTTCAGTACTTCCTCGTTTTCGCAATTTACCGAACTGAAATCAATCTATGATGTAGACCTCAAAAATTTTTATTACTATTCTACATGCCAAGTCAAGTTTATGACTGTATATGTAGATTGTTTTTTGATGATCAATATGTATAAATAGATGTAAGATAATTGTTTAAAATTCCAAACATTCCATTCCATATTTCATTTTTGCAAAAAATATGGAGTTCACTATTGTTTAGAAATTTAAATTATGTTTTAAATATACCCACCTATTTAGCATCTTAACTTTAAAGAGATGGCCTTTGTGAAATATTAATGTTCTCAGTACTTCACCAAAACAGTATAAAATTCGATATTCATTAGTTTTTTCACAAATAAATAAATCTCCATTAAAAACCTGGAAGCACTGGATGGCTGTTTCGTTCTGGTATGGGACTCCCCAGCAGTGCGCATCCACAATCCCGCATGTGGGACACGAAACCAAGACCTTCGGTCTTGTGTGCGAACGCTTAACCTCTAGACCACTAAGCCGGCACCCAACGGTGTTAATGTCTAACTTCAACCAATCCATTATATTGCACGATAGTCCACCATTGTCTTCAATGAGTAACTGCCTCACAACAGACATGGTTGTACTCTATTGGCCACAGTTTTTCATAAGAACTCCAGGAAGGTAATCTTGAAGCCAGTCACCAGTGAACAAATGATAATTACCAGTATAGGGTTGAAGAGATTGTTGAGTTTAAATTGATATCACGAATAGATGAATGTTAGACCACCATTGATAACCTAGAGGTTAAGCGTTCACACTTTTGAGGAGTTCAATACTAGGGCGCAATGATCGTTCAATGCTTCCAGGTTTTAAATGTTGGTCTAAAATTGATCGATTCATGATCTCAATCAAAAATTTAACTATCTCCACAACTATATGCTGTTAAAATAGTAACATCAAAAATATATGTAAAAAAAGCTATCAAAATTATTATCAAAAGTGAATTTCATAAGTATCTTTCAGTATTATTAAGAATCTAATGAATTAGTGATAACGAAAAGGGGATAACCCATCATAATAGGCATTACCATACTTTAAATTCATTTAGACGGGAACTACTTTTTTATATCTATCAAACTAAGCATCATATACATTAGTCCATAGATTTATCAACATTATCCAATTCATCTGTGGAATCAAATATATCAATTATAGTTAAAATAATAAAAGCAATTAATACCTTAATATTATTGATATATGCAGATACATTAGCATTGAACTTCTATTAAACTTATACTGTTTTGGTGATTGTTGTAAAACATCTCAAAATAAAGTCAAATGTTAACACTATTCCTAATATACTAGAACACTAGTTTGAAAGTCTATTAAATTGTCATCTCTATACAGGCTAAAAAACTTTTTCAGTGATGCATATTCACAGATTTCGCTGTTATATTCAGAAAAATGTTTGATTACTTGGAAGCGATTGGTAAGAGATAATGTCATGTGACATTTAGTAGTAGTTATATATATCGATGTTGGTGAATTGATGTTATCTATGGGAGTAATCAAAAGGAGTGAATGCCTGAAATTATGATTTAAAAACATCATTGACAAAGGTCACCTAGATATTTCCGAAATATTTATGATAAAGTTTGTAAAGTCAGTCAAATATATGAATGAAATTCTCGAAAATGTATGATCCATAATTAACTAGGTTCAGTTAAGCTAAACATCGAGAATTTAACAGAAAAATATTTGTAGGACCTAAACTATTGCTGTCTTAAATTAATATGACATTGTGAAACCGAATGGTGACTTCCATCGCAAATTAATTGAAGCATGAAATGTAAACCATTTGATGTCGACTTACTGCTCTGAATTTTAAGAATTTCGTTTGGGATCTAAAGGTCTTGGTTTTAATTGCTAGGTGAGTAGTGAACTCTCACAACTGAAGGGTTTCATACTATGTTCATTTGATACCCATCATATCAGAAAATTGTAGGCTGAATTTATATAAATGATACTGTAGAGAGATAAAGATAAACTCTTGTACCTAAAATAATATAAATCAATGGGGAGTCCATGATAAATTACTAATGGTAATACTTATGCATGGTATCTCAATAAATGGAAAATTTAGCGACTGGGATTTCACTATTTAGTGGTTTAGGATAATATTACATATAGAGGAAACTCGAAGATCAAAGATGTTAAACGGAATTACATAAAATTGCATATATGAACACAATCAAATTATATTCATGTAGTTTGACGTGTCACTGTGAAACATGATTCGACCATAAAGCTTTCGTTGTCCTAATTTAGGTATTGACAGCGCTATCTTAATCGGCAGGGAAAGCTTTGTAACTAAACCATCTAGCTTAAAGAAAGTAATCCCATTAAATGTTTTCGCCTGAATCTTTAGCTTCATCTACATTCATAGGAAAATATTTTAAGAAATACGTTAAACTACTTATAAACTCTAAAAAGTAATAATCAAAATATCTCCAAATAATTGTTTTATTTTTTATTTTTTACAGTGATACATTAGACATATCATGGAAAGGAGTAATGCATAATTCAATGCAAATTAATTATTGTGTAGTTATTAATGCAAATGAAAATCTTTATTATGAATGTACAGCAATGTCAAGATTGAATCAATTTTTTAATTATCATACAAATGAAAAATTTGAACGACCTAAAATATTCCAAGATACTGATTATTTAAGACCAAAATTAATTGATAATTATGTATATAAATGTGGTACAAAGTCAATGATAAGAGTAAGTATTCATATAGGATAAACAGGTGAGATTATAATTTATGGATGGACCTATTTTTTTTTTTTTTTTCTTGGTTGTTTGTTTGTTTGTTTGTGTGGGTTTTTTTTTTTTTTTTTTTTTTGACGGACGATAGTATTGATATTGGTGAGTGTACAATTTTTATAAGGATAAATTGAGGTTATTTTAAGATATGTGATTGGGTTGTTGATTAATGTATGATGATGATTATAGGGGTTTTTAATTTTTATTTGAGGGTTTTTATTTTAAAATGAATGATTTTTTTGGTTTGGGAATTGAATAGATGGTTGAGTTATTTTGTATGTGGATGGGAGAGATTTTGAATTAAGGGGTGAGTATTGTGGGGAAGTATTTTTGTGTGGGGAGATGTTTAGGGATGGGTTTTAATGGTAGTTGATATTTTTTGGTGGTGGGGAGTTGATGAGGGGGGGATGTTTATATTTATGTGGTTAGTTTAGTTTTTTGTTTGTGGTTGTGGGATAGGTAGATTGTGAGGTTAGATTGTGTTATAGTTGTTTTGTTTTATATATTTGTTGTGATAATTAGTTGATTGATTTTTTTTTTTATATTTATTGTATTGTTTATTATTTGGGTTGATTTGGTTTGGAAATTTTTGTGAGATGGGATTAGTAAAAGTTATTGTGGTTTAAATATATATAGGAATTTTCATAGTTGAAATCAGTAATTAACCATAGTTATACCATTACTGAAGATCAGGAAGTACTAGACGATTATATTGTCTTAAGTAATGTGTATCGAAGATCCCATCTGGGATTCAACCTAATCCCTACAGTTTTGAGGCATGAGGTTTACCTCTTGATTCGTTGTGGATAACTGTTTCACACCCAATATATGTAAATCTCACTAAGCGTAACTTTCAAACAGAACTCTTAGAACGAACATTCACTGGACAGCACTCGTTTTTGATTAATCACGGACTTTGTTTGTTAGTCTAATGTACTTGCTCCATAAATAATCCTATTTTCAACGACAGTAACATTTTAAGCTACAACCAATATAACTGTTATTCATTTAAGTTCCAGGCAAAGTAATTAACAATATCATTTAACAGTATAACTATATGTTCCATGAATAATAAGATGATGAATAATTTAACGATTAACAACTGCCAGAACTTTTCCATCTGATCATAAACGATACGAAAATATATTCATATATAATAATTTCTTGTAATTAGACAAGTTAATTGCCTGATGAAGCATAAAACAGATTATCAGAAAGGATTTTGTGGAGATTTTAGGAATTTCAATAGTTGAAATCATGAGTCAATTGAAGCTAGACCACTATGGAAAACCTGGAAGAACTGGACGGTCGTTTTGTTCTAGTATGGGACTCCTCAACGGTGCTTGTCCGCGACCCGCCCCCGGCAAGATTCGAACACAGAACCTATCAGTCTCGAGCGCGAGCGCTTAACTATTAGACCACTGAGCCGGTGTCCAACGGCGTTAACGTCCAACTTCAACCAATCCACGAAGTTGAGCCACCGTACACCATTGTCTTCAATGAGTTCCTGTCTCACAACAGACCTGGTTGAACTCCACTGGTAACGAATTCTCACTAGAACTCCAGGAGTGTCTCTTGAATTCAGTCACTAGTGAGCAGATGATTATTATCAGAAGGGGTTTTGTGGAGATTTAACAAGAGAATAAAAAGGGTTTTAAGTGACTTTCGAATATCTGACTCCAATTTAATCGTCTGATTATCGACATGCACATGTCGCCAATCCTTGTATATAACTATCGACTTAAACCACGTTAGTGATTAACGGAATTAAAATAAATCAAATACGAGAATGGATATCTGAATACCTGTATTTCGTACAACCATTGATCACAACAAACAATCAGAGAGATGGAGAGAAGGAAACGACATGGGCTGGGGAAGTCATGTTAGCCAACTCAATTTAACCAACCGTGAATCGATATTGATAGTCGAAAAAAAATTTATAGACTCATAATGAGTAGGGTAAGTAATTAACACACATGTGATCATAAAACAAAACAGTCCAGAATCACAATCGAATAAGTGATAGGGTAAAAATGTGGCTTGAGTAGAATGAATAGATTGATCTATTCAGAGGCTAGAATGACCTATGTGGGCTTGAGATAACACCAGCCACCACATGCTGAATGCAATAAAAAACAAAAATACAACTTGACATGAAGACAACTAATAGGTATATAAAAGTAACTCAAAAGTAACTCCAACTATGATTTTGTGATCATTGGATTGTAGAATACAATCAAGCAGTGGATTATTGGAAAAGCAGTTGATTTCCAACAGATTGACTGTAAATTTAAACCGTTCTCAGTTCCGTTTTAATCCAGGAAGATAGTTAGCATTGTTAATACTCATAGAATTAAAGTGTAAGTCAAACTGAACACGTAAATCTGTACTTGGTACATAAGTAAGTCAGTAACTCACATAGAATACAAATAATCTTAAACATTTTCAATCAAAACTATTGCGTGGTCACATAGATATGACATAGATTACGTAATCAGTATGAAAGTACAGACTTTAATTGAAACAGAATTTATATCTTTCAACTTCCGCTGTATTATACCAGCTACTCAGTTCCTTTTTTTGTTGACCCATAATGAATTGTAATAAATTAGACAGAGGTTTTTATTTTTTCATTATTATTATTTGTAACTTAAGCCCGGACAATTATTACTTGATTTATTGACTAATCGAAATACGACTTATACAATCTTAGTATTGTACCAAACCAATGAAATTCGACTGGCATAAACATCCTAGCGTCCTAAATGGCCCAGTTCCTCCTAGTTTTGCCAGTTGAGTCCAGAGCATATATATCAGCTTTCACTATGAAAATCATTTGTTTCAAACATACGTCGTTTATATACCAGCCAAACAGGCCACATCACACCATAAGATAGGAAATAACATTTATACAATATCAAGCCAAAAAGTGACTGTGAACGTGAAAGACTGTAATCAATAAACTGAACAGAACTTAAGAACACTAAACCATATCGTAATAGTCGTTTGGTCAAAATGAAGATTACATTAAGAGAAATATAGATATGCATAATCTAGTTACTGTATAGTCATACAAAAGGAATAAATATATATAATATTAGTCCATTATTAGTTCTCAATAGTTACCCATAATCTAATCTTCACTAGGATATAACAATTATTATTTTAATAGTTGAGATCATGAGTCAATTAAAGCTAGATCATCATGAAAAACCTGAAAACACTGTACGTTCTATTGTGCAACCAATAAAATTCAACCAGGTCTGTTGTGAGATCATAACTCACTGAAGACAATAGTAATTATGTCGTTTGATTTCATGGATTAGTTAAATTTAAACATGAACACCATTAGAAATTGACCAGTTGACATGAGATCAGTAGGTTTTGGTTTCAAATCTTACCAAGATGAGATCGTGAATATGCACTACTAAGGAATCTCACAATAGAATGTGATTATTATTTTGTTAAAATCATTTTTTTAAAAACACACACACACATTTTCTTTTTGATTTCTTCTTCTTCTTTTCTTTTCTCCCCCTTCTTCTTCTTCTTCTTCTTTTTCTTCAAAGATTAGACTAACATCAACATTAAGTCAAATATTAAATGATTTACATAGAAATCATTCACTAAAATTATTTATTAATGTTTATGCAATCAATAAACGTATGGATATTAGTACCGCATATCCGGTCAAAATGATACAATATTCAATACAAAATTGTCAATCAAAACGTTATATTAATAATATTAAAATAATCAATAAATTATATTATAATCAATTTTATTGGAATTCTGATGTTTTATTTCAAATGAAATTCAATGGGAAATTATTTCAATTATATTATCAACCATGTCGTTTACCTGGTAATAAAGCTATAAATTATACAATAACTTTATTGAAGAAAATCAATTTACAGTAAGTTCCGTTGTTGTTGTTGTTGTCTTCTTGTTCTCTTTTTCTTCTTATTATACTATTTTAATATGAAAGGGATTTTGTGGAGAATTTTAGAAATTTCAATAGTTGAAATTGAAGAGCACTTCCGACAAGTCCCACATTAAGATGAAACGACCGTCCAGTGCTTCCAGGTTTTTCATAGTGGTCTAACTTCAATTGACTCATGATTTCAATTATTGATATTTAATACAAAGTTGTGTTGCATATATAAATAAATAGATTTATATATGATGATCGTTGATGATGATTTCACTTTTGAAATGAAACATCATTTTAAGGATTTGATAAACTAACAAGAAAATGTTTATTTGTTTTCTACTGACTAAATGTTGGATAGTGTTATATCCCGATGAGAATAATGAATGGTAACCTTTGGGATCCACTTATCGACTAATATTATAAGTATATTTTTGTCGTATAATTGTTAAATGACCAAACTATTCATATTCGTGTTCCTCTCATCATAAGCTTTATTTCGACTTATGAACTATTATTATACGATTTACCGTTCTTAAGTTATGTCCAGTTTATCAAGTACTACCTCCTATATCCACAGCCACTTTTGGCTAGATCTTATACCAGTGTTATTTTCCATTGTATGGTACTATATGGTCTGTTTGGTTGGTATATACACTCAGTATGTTTGAAACAAATTATTCACATTATAAGACAAATTCATGATTAATAAAACCTTCTTGACAGAATCGGCCAACTTATGCTAATAATAATGGAGAAAATGAGACTGAAAGTTCTGAATCAACTACTACTACTACTACCACTACTCACACTGTTACTTCGACTACTGTTACTGTAGTGGACAAAAACATAAGTGTGTGTTGGGTGCAACCAAACGTGTCAAAACACAAAATTACAGAATGGCTTAGTAAAATCTGGGAACCGTACAGTAAATACTTCATTTGCAAAAGGTCTTTCAATTGTCTCGGACTTTATTATCCATTGATTTCCGTACCAATCACTCTCTGTTCTTGTTCTCTTCTATTCAATCTTCTCAACTTTCTACCGCCAGATATTCCACTTTCTATTGGTGATGCATACTACTTATATCTGCCGACATCAGTAGTACACCACACTACTAATACTACTACATTGGAACATATGTTGTTATTAGGGGAAAATAAAACACGACGGTTAAAGCAAAAATCAAAAGTTATTTGTTGATCTTATAAACTAAAATAAGGCTTATTTTGATCAATCGCCTCTGCAATAGAATCTATTCCCAAAGAATAATTGGCTAATTGTTAACCCACACTGCTAATGTAGTAGTAGTCGTAGTGGTAGTAGTGATAGTGTATTGAACGAGGCCTTGGTGGGGATAACCAATTTATTTTAATGCGAAATTACAGTGTGCTATCAAAAAATATGAAAATCATACATTAAATACATCATTTGCATACCTTCTTTGAAATGTATCTTACAAGCTTCACTGTTCCTTCATTTTTGTTGTTATGGTGATTGCTGTCATTTTTCTTCTCACTTATCTTTATTTTATTCTTCTCAACCTTCTGCTCGCAGGCTTTCTACTTCAGATCGGCGCCACATACTACTTATATCTGTCAACATAATAGCGTACACCACAGTAGCAGTAGTAATAGACGAAAAAAGACATTAAGGTTACCAAGCAGGTGAACAATGCCATCAACCAAACACATATATGACATTCATTGTACTGTTGTTTTTTGTTATCACCTTTGCAGGAATTCTACTATGACGACATCAAATTTACAAACACTATGTGAATATCCAATCAACAGTCATCGAGTATTGCGTATGTGTTTAGATTCTGGGGACGGAGTTTATTACTTACAATTAAATGGCAATCCTAATTTTGAAAATAAACAACCAGTGGGTAGATATTTTTTCTTGGGACCTAACACAACCAGCTTACTACCTCAGAAACCAAAATACACATGTATGATTAAAAAGTTATTCTGGTGAATCAGTTTTTTTTCTATTTAACATACTGAAAATGCACATTTATAATTACTATTTTGTTTAGTAAAAATTACTCCGTAATTTAAGCTTTTGCATGAATTTAAGGAAAAAAGGATTTATTTTGCAGTTAAAAACAGCAACTGATGACTGCCAAGCAATCATGAAGCACTGGGAAGCTATTTCCACCTAGTATTGATACTCCTGAATGGTGAACTGTAAAATCTCACAATCACCACAAAAAACCATGCAGTAATGACATTAACAATTCTTTATTATTTTGTGCATTTAGAGTGAATATGAGGAGTTTGTGAAAACTGATGAGTTCTATGTTTAATATTATGAACTGATCAGAGATTGATAAACATCGAAAACCTGTTGAGATCTTGGATATGCACTGCTAAGGAGTTCCATCCTAGAACGAAATTCCAAACTAGTGGCTTCTTGTGTTTTAATGGTCGTCTAAATAAGGCCAGTTTATAATGTTATCTATAAAATATACACAGAATTACTTATATAATAATGTGTCATAAACTGATCGATTCAGTAATATATGCTTACCATTTGAAATTTAACAATGTTAAATTGTAGCATAGAAAAAAACGAATGGAATGCTAAATATATTCACTGTTAATAAGTTTCTATTCATTTCCTTCCTTTTTAATTATGGTTATTTTGCTCGAAATATTTTCTGTTAAATATAATGCAGAAAAACCATGAATTTATATGGTGGTTGGTGGTAGTCAACAGGAAACCCTGGACCTGGGTTTCGTGCTATTTGATACTCGTCAGCAAAGTGTAACTGTAATCTTGAGGGAACTGGTAGTCACTGACGAATTCCATTCCGTGTCATATAGCTTCACAGTCAGAGATGTTACCACTGGGCTAAAAATGACCTGACACACATAACATTGATCACCACCCAGTGATCAATCAATTGTGAATACATCTCAGTCCTAGGGATGGTCAGGCGCGGCCCATGAAAATTTATAGGTATTATTGGACTCCAAGTTTTAACTGAATAAAATAGTATTTGAGACTGAAGAATTTATGACAAAGATCTGTTAACCAGTAGAATGATTTAATTAGTGTTGAATTCTATCATTTAATTGATTTATTTGTTTAGTCAGATAAACTTTAATTGATTTTACAGAAATGTTAACATTACAGCTGATTTCTTTTGAAGTTTTCACTGATAATATTAAAGAATCCAGAAGTAAAGAAAAGAACTATTTACTGGAAAATCAACTTACACTAAGTAATAAGACATTGGAAATTTAATTTTCCATCGATTAGGACATTATCATCAAAGGCTGTCTATTCATGTCAGCAATATATTAAGATTTCGTTGGAATTGATATGAATGGTCATGGGTTCAATTTATTCATAAATTCTTGTATACACACTGTTAAATTATCTTCTATGATTAATGGAAAATTAAATACAGTATACTTCAGTTGAAGTTGCTATACAGTTTAACCACAATAACTTAAGAAACTAACAATATGATTTGAAAAATACAGATTGAAAAGAAGTTTTGTATAATGAAGTGAATACATCTACACCATTGCAATCGATATTCAAGTCATATCATCCAACATATATAAACATCGATCACAATCAACCGAGTGTATTTTAATCATGTGTTCTGTCAAAGAACATTTATACCATAAGAAAATCGATATTATGCACTCGTTTGGTCTTTTTTAAAATACTTTATTTAATGACAGTTCATTATGACTACATGTTATATCCCGATGAGAATAATGAATGGTGACCTTTGGGATCCACTTATCGACTAATATTATAAGTATATTTTTGTCGTATAATTGTTAAATGACCAAACTATTCATATTCGTGTTCCTCTCATCATAAGCTTTATTTCGACTTATGAACTATTATTATACGATTTACCGTTCTTAAGTTATGTCCAGTTTATCAAGTACTACCTCTTATATTCACAGCCACGTTTGGCTAGATCTTATACCAGTGTTATTTTCCATTGTATGGTACTATATGGTCTGTTTAGTTGGTATATACGCTTAGTATGTTTGAAATAAATTATTCATATTTCAGAGGTTGGATTTGTGTTCTGTACTGTAACAGGCAAAGCTAGGCGAGGAGCAGGATCGACAAAGACTTTAAACTGCTCGCATTTATTTTATACGTTATTGGTCCGGTCAATAATTCACTGTTCTTTAATTAGACGTATCATTAATTCATACATTGTTATGGGGCACAAACACACAAGTTATAATTATCAGAATGGGTTTTGTGGAGATTTTTAAAAATTTCACTGGTTGAAATAAGGAGTCAATTGAAGCTAGACCACTATGAAAAACGTAGAAGCACTGGACGGCCGTTTCGTCCTATTATGGGACTCCTCAACAGTGCGAATCCACGATCCCGTACCTCGCGAGATCCAAATCCAGGACCTATCAGTCTCGCACCTGGCGCTTAACCATTAGACCACCGAGCCGGCATTCATCGGTGTTAATGTCTAACTTCAACCAATCCACGAAGTTGTGCCGCCGTACACCATTGTCATTAGTGAGTTACTATCTCACAACAGACCTGGTAGAGATTGATAGGTCTTGTATTCGAATCTCATGGGATGCGTGATCGTGGGTGCGCACTGCTGAGGAGACCAATAATAGGTCGGAACGGCCGTCCAATGCTTCCAGGTTTTCTATAGTGGTCTAGCTTCAACTGACTCATGATTTCAACTAGTGACACAAGTTATAACTTTATAATTTTTAATTCAACAATTATCATTATTCCATGTTCATAATATCAAATCTACTTCATTCATTAAAATTTTATTTACAGATTTTCCAACAGATATTTCAACTATTATTAATCAACCATCAAGTAATCAAACTATATTTCAAATTCCATCACCATTTTTACAACAACATTTAAGACATTATCGTTTTACTAATCATCGTATAAAACGTACTAATTATCATCAATTATATTTAAATAATAAATTAAAATCTAAACAAATTAATAATTATTTAATGAAAACAATTACTACAATTTCATTAAATAATAGTAATAATAATAATAATTTTGTAAACATTCCAAATTTATTAAAACGTCCATTCAGAAATATTCCAATGAAAAATGGTTTTCAAATTGGTGTTGAATGTACATCACATCAAGTGTATATAAGTTTAAAAATTCATGTTAATCCACAAAATTATTGGATTTATACATTACCAGTATTAAATGATCCAATAAATAATATAAATTTAATGTGGGATTATTTAAATAATAATATGGTAAGAAATAATAATAACATGCAATTGGTTCCCTTGATGAATTTAAATAGAGCAAGAACAACCATCAATGGTTGTTCTTGCTCTATTTAAATAATAATAAACCTGAATTTCTATTGGTTGATTTTCAAATAAATATTATTGGTTATTAATAATTATTAGATTTTAATTGGTTGATTGAAATTAACATAGAAATATATTTGAGCTATTTTATTGTCTCATTTTGAGTTTCTGTAACTCAATATAGTAATTAGTTTAAGAGTTTAGTAGACAATTCGGTGGACGACCTATGAACGACAGTTGAGTGACTTTGAGAGTGTCTAGCTAGTAACTAAGACAAAATGAGAGTTATAAAACAGTGTGAAGAATTAAAGTTATAATTTACACTTTATGGTTAAGGTTAGGAATTAGATTTAGGGTTTTCTTCACGAACTGACATCAGCTATAAGGCCAAAACTCTATATAACTAAATGGCTGAGTAAATTTCGCGTTAAAATCCGAGACCTGTTATCTTATACCTAATTGGTTCATCTATATATTATAGTCTCGTCGACAATTCAACTGTTCGTTCGTATTAATTGGTTCATATTTCTGAATTTCAGTCAATTCATTACATTGTGCGAGTAGTAAGTTTTGAATGGTTATAAGGTTTTGAGCACGACTTGTGAATGAACAGTGGATGTTTGTCGATATCTTGTGTCACTCGAAATTGTTCAACTTTATGTATCTGCAACAAAATACGATGCATTATTAAAAAATCACAAGCTTCGTTTCCGTTTTGCTTACAATATACAGTGTTAACAACAAGTCATGTTAATAAATATAACGATTGAATGTTTAGGTCGTTCCACAGGTGTACAAAATTGATAAAATTACACGGCATTGATTAAAGTTTCAAAATTTTTTAATATACTTCTACAAGGTATACTTGTTTTCTCACCTGAACGACGTCTTCATACTGTACGTGCTTTTTTATCATTACTGATTTCCAGTAGTTGATTGAAAATTTATTTAGTGAATAACAGTGGAATGAACTTTATCCTAATGTGTGATTCAATAGCTTGATATACTTGTATCGCTATAGATATTTATACTGAGACTCATAAATTACAGTTAATAAAAAGGTTATAATACTAGATTACGTAATATGAATAATGACAATAACAATAGATTTAGTGAATATAATAAGATGATTAAAATGTTTTTGTTATAATAGTTAAAGGTCATAGAGGTGTAAAAATAAATATGGTGATATGATGAGTATTCACGAATAAAACAATGAGAATATAAGACATAAGTAAAGGGGGGAAATGCAGTAATAATAATAATTATTATTATAATTGGATAATCAAAATGCTTAAGGCCAAGGTAACGATAACGATAAGACATACGAAGGGATCTCTTTTCAACGAATTTAGTACTTTTACAAAAACAAAAATTTTCATATATATACGATTGTACAGCTTGATAATAAACTCATAAATAAGTCAAGAAACATCCTTCTTGAATTCCACTGTTAATTACTACTCAACATATAACCAAATTGAAAATAAAATCACCACGAAATCTAATCAAGGAGCACGTACAAACCCCCTTACACGTGAATCGACTAGAGAAATTTCAGGCTTACCATTCTAATTACTTAATGTATACTATTAAGGAGTGGCCTACTATAATGAGACAGCTGTTCAGTACTCCTTAGTTTTCAATTGTATCACAACTGAGATCAATCTGTGGTGATATACAACCTACAAATTTATTTATGCACAAAATGAATCATTTATTTATTTTTACATTTATTCTATATATATTTTCTTTTTAGACCGATTATTGTGAATTTCCAAAGCATATATTATCTAAACAAATTAAACAAACTATAAAACCAATTTATTGTCAAACAACTCAAGGAATGCATTCACTTGAATTAACTATACCAGCATATCATCGTAATGATTATCCAAGATTTTATTTAATATTAATTTATGTATCAAATAATGATGATATTAATGGAAAATATAAACAATTATTTGTACGTCAATTATTAGATACATGTAATATTATATCAAATGGTTGTTATCCTAATGTACCAACCGATTGTCGTCAAAATTATCCAAAATATTTACCATTCACATTTGATCCATTATTGTCTAGTTCAGTAATATTAAATTCAAATTCATCTAATCAAATACCTGTATGTATGATAGATGAATATTAAATAAATATGTCTATTGTTTATTTAATATTTAATTATAGTTTAATTAAATTTTCTATTTAATTCTAATTAATCATCCATAGAAACGTTTATGTATTTATTTCTCATTTCTCATTGAATATTCATCGCATTTATAAAGTTTTCAAGTTTATTTAAAGAAAAATAAACAAAAACAATACAAGTCAAATAAATAATAACAATGGAATATTTGTTCTTTTGTGAAGAACACAGACTTTTTTTTCTTTTTGAAAAGGCCTTTCACAGTAAAAAAAGAGAAGAAAAAGAAAAAAGAGACAGATTCGATCTAGAATATCAGACTGAGTATAAACCATCAGTTAAATTGTCTATTATTATTATTATCTTTTTTTTTTGGGTGGGTGAGTGGGGCGGGTTAACTCTAATAAGATGTCATCTTTGAATTGTATTTATTATTTTCATTTATTTCATTTTACCCGGTGTTATCTGTTATATCATTAACACCATATTATACAATAATAATATCTATCATTTGTTCTATTCTATATGATCTTTTTGAATCGTTTACAAATTTTTTTTTCAATTATAATTCTTTGTATATCTTTTCCTCTCTGATTATACATATTTAATTTTATGAAGGAAAAAACAAGGACAAAGAATGTATTTTCTCATAGCAATAAAATATTTGTCACTGTTTTATTTTATTGATGATTCAATTATTATTTTTTTAATACATATATCATATACGCATATATATATATTGATCATTGAACATTCATAAAAGTGGGTGGAGAGATGGATAAAATATATTTCTAGAAAATGAAATGGAACATTGTTTTTTTTTTTTAAAAAAAAAGAGGAAAACACAAATAAACAAACAAAATTCATATAACACCATAGAAGAAATCTTTTATTTCTTTATATTGTAACGTTATTTTATTGAAAATAAAATAAAGATATTTTTGGATATAAACGTACGTTTATTAATTTGCCCCTCTTTTTTTTTAATGTTCCGATGAATTTGGCATAGCATTAAAGTGGAAAATAATTATTATGATTGAAGGTTAATAGTAACCCTAATGTTTTCAATATTCAAATAAGTATGTTGTATTTAGTGCTTTAGTTTATTGTTAGGTTTGATTAGCAGTACGATCTTATATATTGAATAGTAATTTCACTTATGACTTCAGTAAAAGTGTTTGAAACTATGTTCAATTGTTTTCTGTGGGTATATTAGTCTAGCACAGCCCAATATTTTGATTCTATAGTTGTAGTATGTAAAGTCTAAGCTTCGATTTATTGTATATTATTATTAATAAATTTGACACAACTACTGACTGTTACTTATTGGGTACGTGGAAGTTAACCAGAAATTATCTGCAGATAGCATGAATGGGAAGTTGGAACAAGTCCTTCAATTCTTATTGAGGTTGAAAGGATTATTGTTAATCTAAGCCAAGAAGTAGTACCAGATCCTGAGATCTGTAGTGTTAGTGTTTCATTTTCAACAGTTAGTTCGACTGAGATATTAACTAGAATATGAGAACTGAACGTGATATTACCTAATTGGTTTTTATCGCTGATCGTCCCAGTTTACAGAAAGGAACATAAATTCTCTTATGACAGACGAATCGAGTCGAATCATAGTGTCGAAAATATTAGCTTTAATAATCATCCGACTGTTAAATAGAATCGGTAGATACCGAACAGGGAATGCATAGACTAAATATTCACTTTTCATCAATCCCTAAAACATGGATATGCTCTCTGACCTCCAGCTTTAGTTGTTTCTTGACTTTAAGGCAGCACTTGACTCTGTTGATCGAAAGGTTCTGTAGCATTTTCTACCATTAAAAGACGTAAAAGAGAAATATATCAACCTTAAAAAGACGGTACTCGGACACTGTTGGTCATTATAGTGCTCATAGCAAACTGTCTTCAGAAATATCAACCTAAATTGGTGTTCGTACGAACTGTTCACTTTCTCGCCTATTACTTGACTTCATAGACACCCTTTCAGAGATGAACCTCCCACCATCCGAAGTTCTAGATATTGATCTGCTACTAGAAGACTAACGTTTCAACTTCAAATACTCAGATGACATAGTTCTGTTTGGTGAAAACGCTGACAAAATGAAGTCGTCTAATCGTCTTATGAAGTAGGCGAGATATCCTTCTACCAACAAAAAAAGTTTATTGAACAGCAGTTCACTTTGTTGCACTTTATGGATGTTAAGGACTACTATTAAGAATTGATAATATTCGCAGATTACTAGTAGTCAGTTAAAGGTTGTCTCCGAAACAGTAACCTTTTATTTCGGGATCACTGAGTGAGCAATGTTGACGTTAGACTTAGGGCACTAGTTAAAAACTGTGAATCGGTTGATGAGGTGGTCAGTTTTTATCAACTGGGACGACTTGGATGGGTAAAACATCTAAAAATTTATTTAGTGTAGTGTTTTCAAATAAATCACTTTTTTAGAACAATTATGTAACTAGACAATTTGGGTTACAATTTTGAAAAGGATTCAGTAACCAAATTTTATTCTTCCATGAAATGTCTGTACATTCGCTTTTTTCTTCCTAGTTGTGGATGATTGTAAGATGGCTTGGATTGATTGAAGTTGGACGCTAACACAGTTACATGCCGTCTAGCAATTAAGCTTTCTTACGCAAGATCGAGAGTCTTGATTTCAACACCAATGTGCATGGTTATGAAGGCGCGCTAGTGTTAAGTCCTATGCTAGGATGAAACGGCCTCATAGTGCTTAAAGGTTTCTAATGATGGCCTAAGATTGATCAGTTCATCATTTCAATGAAACTTCACAACCTATACGACCCCAAACTGATGATTGAAAGTACTCTGTAAAGACACTGGAATAGTGCACAGCTATGTTATTCATCTTTAACAATAAAGTCACAGTTCTCCCACTGATAAATGCTTATTTTCAACTACCGCTTCATATAGATTAAATCGTCGCGACAAGTGTACTATAGAAACAATTTATGAAAATCATACCTTTCAACTAGTGTACCTCCATATTTTTTCGCTTAAAATTATTATATTTTCATTCGGACCAACCTAATCATGCCCGTATACACTTTTATGAATTCTGTAACTACTTTCAAAAGATTTATCTATTTATCTATATATAACAATATTCGGATTAGGGGAAAAAGATATGTTACCGAATAAAGAAACAAACAAACAAACCAACATGCAAATCAATAAAATAAAGAAATAACTTTAAACAGTAAATGATAACGTTCTTAAGTAGGTTGGTTAACCAAAAGAAAAGAAGTAATAATAACGAATGAAGGCATGAAAGTGAGCTCTATAATGATTAATTAATTATCTTGATATTTATTTTATTGCAGCCACGTTTTCTATAACGTGTCATCACATACATATTTCCATACGTATATGCATATTAGAATGAATGAAAAAACTGTACAATAAAGAGATTTAATTGTAATGTTTGTTTACTTAAATTGAGAAGCAACATCTCTACTTGGCTTCATTTTAGGGTAGTTCAAATTTTATTATGAAGAGATTGCTGTGTATTGTGAGTGGTTAGTGAATAACCATGGGTGCTTGTGTTGATAATGTGCATATGTTTGTGTTAATGTTTTAACGAATGGTAAGTTTAAATGAATGCAAATAAGCATAATAAACTATCTGTAATATAGAAAATGTTTTATTTACACATTTTTACTTGAAGGATGTATAAATTATTTATTTTGAGTATTCTTGGGGAGTAGGTTTAATATCAAACGATGCTGAAGAATAAATGTAATACAAATTTGACTACTTAATATATATTATAGTAGTATAACTTGAAAAGAGTTAAAATAAGGCCACATTACTATCCGAAAGATACGTATTCGTCAATGTGTCAAACAACATTGTACTTTATTAGGAGCTCTTTTCTGATCCAGTTGAACTGTATCCTTGTGACGATGACTATACTACAAGGTTTTCAAAGAAAATTTAGAAAACTATTTGTTAGAACATAAAAAGCGGGAAAAAATTACTGTATTTATTTATCATGGTAATCCATAACCTAAATGGACATGAATTCGTGATGAAAATTGAAAAAGTCTCTCAGAAAAATTACGAAACCAATAGGCTGTTAACAGAGATAACTTGGTGAAAAACAGCTTTTTTTTAAGTAAATGAATGGTTTCAGTGAGGGTTAGGAAGACTTCAGGGGTGACGCAAGGTTCACGAAGATCACCGATCAATTATACTGATTAAAAATTCTAATATACGCTGTATTTTGCGGTTTTTAATCGTTTATTCACCACTCAGATCACTGATAATGAAGTTACTTTGGCGAAGATGCCTGTGGATATGAAATCATTAAAAGTGACATGACAAGATAACTGAAGAGTATGATAACTTTCCTGAATCTTTTGAATAATAGAAACTTAGATGGTAAAATATATTACCACAAATTGAGATAATTTCGAAGTGAAGCGAGTTGAAGTAATTGAACTGTTATAAAACTGAACCATCATAACATCAGTTGTGTGTCACTTTGTCAAACTGTTCAATGAGATTTTTCCGAGAATATATATATCAAGCTTATGTTCATTATTTATCTGAAAACGTTCAATCACATATTGAATGATTAGTAAATCAGAGTGAAAGAAAGTCTCTCGTGACTCGAATAGTTAAACGATAGCATCCTAAAACGTAAAACGTTTTAACCCAAGTTCGAATATCATAAGAACCAACAGTCCTCTAGATTTAAGGTACACTTTGTTAGCGAGTGTCGATTTATACTAAATCTAGATCCAGGGGTTCCTTCTAGACTTCGCCAACCACATTTTATTGGAAATTCAATATTCTGTGATAATAACAATAATGGTGATAATAATAATAATGATTATTATTATTATTATTTTAATAGTAATAAGAGTTAAAATAAGCGAAAACAAAACTCACTGAATTTGACCATGCATCTAAATTATTATTACCCTCAGTATTTATTTCATACCAACGCTAAAATTTTAAAAAAACACAGTGAAAACAATATATAAACTATGCAGCTACACTAAACAAATTCGGAATTCAACAAAACCTTTCTATAATAATAAATATCAACATGTACTTACTAATAATTAATTTCGAAAAGTAGTTTTCCGTGGTCTAGTGAGAAGCCATGACTAGTGGAGTTCAACTATATCGATTTTGAGCCAGTTAATTATCCACCAAGAATATTAAAGAATATTTGTATAATATCAAAATTTAATTGAAGTGTCAATCATATAAACCTATGGATACTGATTCAATGATTTATGTGTTAGACCTTCGCTATGATACGTGACAATTTCGGTTTTATGACTGAAAAAATTGATTCCGTCGTCACTGTTGTAACTGGGTAGTCAGTTGTTTTATATCCGGAGAGTAGTATCTGTTATGTAAGTATCGACTCTATTAAGTCCACATTCTTGCTGCCTTGACTTTACAATCGGGAATCACTACAACTAACCGGTGTGACTGCTTATACTAAGAAACGAGAGTAACTACAATCCCAACGATGCAATACGATAACACGAAAGATTAGTGCAATGAAGATTTATCGACTCCCCAAAAACACATTTCCAAATAAGTCCCAAAATGATATACAAAATCACGTCAACCTTAAAGCACAGTAATATTATTTATGTACTGAATTTTGCACAAATGTGGGTGGAATGTATACGGTCATAGTAAAAACAGATCATAAATTTAGTTTACCTGACTTATTACAGAGTTGATGTTCACTTAGGTACTTGAACCCAATACTGTTCGCTCCAAACGTCATCGCGTTATCCACTTAGCTACTAAGCCTTTGAAGTGAATGGCAATGGGTTTGAGACCCAGAGCGAATATCATTTTGGATGGAGATACATCCAGCTGACGAGTCCCAAATTGAATGAGACGCATGTCCTGAATTCCACTGATAGCCATGATCCATCTCTGCTTATTTTACTACAATGTTTTCAGCTCTTCATCATCATCAACATCATGTTTCTTATACCCTCTTCTAAACTTTAATAGTCTAAATATTATTACTTTCAATCATACAGATTCGTGTTCATTATGTAATTCACATTATATCTAAGTAAATTTGTCAAAGTTTACATTTACCAATATAATCTAAATAGGAAGATGTGAAAGTATTGTTTTTCTGATGTGATATAACATTAAAAGTAAACTAAAAATGTTTAGTTCCAACACAGTCGTTCGGAGTGAAGTTATCAACAACGTTTTCGATGTTCAACAAATTTCTCATATTAAACTTTTTCAGCTTTCTTTCCGTAATGAGTTACGCACTTGGAATGAAACAACAGTCATAACATGGGATGTAGATAACAGTAGAATCCAGAAAATGTAATCTCAGTGATAGTACTAATACTCACTTACTGCAAACAGTCACAAAAATTCCTTGGTATTCGAAGAACCGTGTCGATGAATGATCCAAATGTGACACTCAACAATGTGAATAATAAGCATCAATGATTAATGAACCTTCAACATGATAACACTCTAACTCAATCTAATGGTAATTGTCAATGAAATCCACAAGAAACCAAACCATGCATTATCTCTGGAACCTGACCTTATCAATAATTGGTGCACTACACCTTAAGTCGTGACCACTTTTTTGACTTACCCTCTTACGGTTTTATGAACGAGTTTATGATTGTTAAAATAAAAGATAATAATGCTGACCGATCGACAATATTCCATTATATGATATGACTGAATGATGGCTGCTCTCGTGACCGAATTATTGACCTTAACCTCTGACTGATTTTACAAAACAACTAATCAGAGGAATAGATTTTTGTTGTTTAATAAGATGGTAAAATTATTTACAAAATATTCACACAAAAATGAGAACATTAACATTTTGTAGGCGATTAGATTAAACCGGTTTGTAGGTCACCATCTCTCTAATCAATTAAGATCTGAGTGTTAGGACTAATTTCCATGTATCGTATCAATCTTAAACAACTATAAGGTCAATTATCGGGTTATAGTGAAAGACAATCAAAATAAATATGCGAACAACGACGGGACAAGTATCGACAATAATAACCACTCTCGTTCAGGCTCGACAGAATGAACCGGTAGTCATATGTGGTGAAGTTTAAGTAGGTCACTTCTATCAGAACTTTGTATCGATGATATTGTTCAAAAGACAATGAAGCGGCACAACTTAATCACCGAATACAGTGAATGCGACTTTACTGAAATCATCTCCACTGGGCTAAAAGTATCCTCTACCATTTCAAAATTCGTATTTAATGAGATAGGTAGACAAAAAGGATAAAAACCTGACAAAACACGAATCAAATTATTTTTGGTTCTTATTTCAAGAAAAACGGAAAATCAGACTAACTTTAGGAGCACCCCATGTAGACACCATGCACTCAGCAACTGCTTGAAATAAATTTTGTATATTTTTACCGGTTTTTGCACTTGTCTCAAAGAAACCATGAGCTGCTTGTTGAGATGTCAACTGATGTTGGGGGAGAAGAGAAGTGGGGTCGAATGAGTAGTAAATTAAACTGAATATTTTTTATAAAAATTACCATAAGTAAAGCCACATTTAAACATGCAATCATCTTCAAAGTAAGTCATTTACAAATATCTTAGACCATGAAGTTGAGTGACGCCTTCTCACTCTTAGCCTTTTCATTCAAGTACCCCGTTGGATTTGCGTATAGGAAGCTTGAGTATCAGTATCGAAAATGAACACCTCATAACGCAACAAATTCTTTAACATTTCCTAACTTTAATTTAAACGATTTCTCTGATTATATAAGATTTATATTCAGATTCGTTTAAGGGGGCTTCTCCTAAAGTGCACAGTAATGATAATAATAAAAAATTATGATTTTATGATCTAACCTCACTACTAAAACCATAAACCTATGAAATACAGTCAAAATTATTGGTTACTAATGGATTATTACCACTAAATAAATGTTCCAAGAACTCAACGTTTATATTAGTCACTAGTTTTACAGGATAGGTTGTTAACGACTTCTGACAATGGATAACAACATGTATTTCCGAGTTATAAGTTGATTTCCAAACACTGTTGTCAAAAAAGGTAAATAGTAGGTCAGCAGGATTGAAAACGTCTGGCTAAAAGCTTCAAATAGTTAAGTTTAGTCAGTCAGCGATATAGTGAATGTGTAACGATTAATATGTTTCGGTAATGTATTATAAATATTGATCGGTATTAGTGAACAAATCAATACATAATGTTAATCGTTGCCCTCTAAACACTAAATCCACTTATCATATTAGTTGTTCTTGCTTCCTATTCCCCTTCTAAAACTGATGATCATTTGAGCATAAATTACTTTCTTCCCCTGTGTCAAATGAATATGTCTCAAAGTATATACGATATTCCCTCATCTACTGGACCTTTCTATCCTAATAACATACAACATACTCATTAATTTGATTTATACTGTTTTTACCCTCACCTTGTTCAATTCCTTTAGTGTATATAATTTATGCTACATACTAACATTTAGTAGTTAGTTTCCATTCTGACAATTTTCTGAGTTTATGACCATCAGTCATTACATAATATTGCCTAGCACTTAAAGGCAAGACTCTAATTTATGAACAAGCCAATGAAAGACGAGTAAGCGCTCTATAGGTCCTGGAGCCTATTTTATTACCCAACACTCACGTACGATCAGTTTATGGCGAATATTGACGAGGACATTATGGTTGAGTGGATACAACTGATGGGATTATTGAGTTCCTTTATTCGTGGTGCTCAAATGATTACTGGACATTGTGCAGACTATCGTGACGATGTTGAACTTCGATGTAATATATATCGGAGAAAAAGGTCTTCCAGAAAGGCGACTTTCTCGCTGAATCCCGATTGACACTCATACAGATTATGATAATTGTTGCGAAATAGATCATAGATGTATCAACAACACTGGATGCAAACTTTGTAGATGTTACTGAAGCTTCGGTAGTTCAGCGGTATGAGTGTTATCGAGACACATGTGTAATGAAGATGGCAGGAATCGAGAGAACCGTAGAACTTTACGAAACCGTCGTTAAAAAAAGCGAACTCAACCGAGGAAGAAGTGTTAAAGAAGACTGAGTAAGTAGCACTTACAAAAATATACTTCTCAGGTCCTTGGTATATATGATAGATCATCTCAAAAAGAACAGTGACAAGTTACAACTGTAATACCAATTCTACGAGAGTATATGAAGCCGGGTGCCATAATACACACGGATGTTTGGAGAGCAATATCGATGCCTATCTAGACTTGGTTACATGCATCGTATCGTCGTTCACAAGCGACACATTTTAGACCCCACCATGGTAGCACACACCAATAATATAGAAGTAATGTGATCGAAAATAAAATAATTTAGCTCCATAGGTCGACTATTATGGAGTCACATAGATGAGTTCCTGTATTCTATGCAGTACGACTTCAGAACAGCCGAGTCTCTTTCTAACCATGAAAAGTCTTTAAACCATGTTAAAGAAGTGCATCCACTTTAACTTTTTGGTTTTGTACTATATGTTCCTATTCTATACCGACTGTTTTCTGATCGGCTGGAACTTATCAAGGTTATTCAAGATTCGTTCAAAGGTCGTCCAGAAATTATAGTCTCGTCATTTGGGTTTTCGACATAATTCATATATTTTCATAATAAAAGTATCGTTTTTGTGTATAATATTGCATTCTTTTCTTCGATGGATTTACATTTCACTCGATCGTATAGTTGAAGATTTGATATGAAATTAACACTCATTAATAATAAGAATATTGATAACATGAAGTTTAGCACAATTTGTAATACACTTACTTGTTGACCTTGTTCTGTTGACACTCTTTTGTCCTTTATCATATCAATTTTATTAGCTACGAAAATCACCGGTACTGCATCATCCATATGCTGAATGAATATTATTAAAAATTATAAATAGATAGTGAGAAAAGAGTAGAAGTGAATGTAAAAATTGATGAACAACTTACATTTCAATAACAACGACAAATGAAAAAAGTGATTAAGCTATGCAAATGCTTAATTTTCAAACTTAGTATTCATCATAGACTCAGCTAGTTAATCATCATCAATGCAGAGCTTTATAAAAATGTTCGTTGGTCAAAGTTACCAGATTGCAATAATACAACGAGGTGAAGTTAACATGATTACTAGAAAAAAATTTTATGAGCTAATATCGTTTAGAGAATTCTTGCGATTAGATAAGTGTTTTTACTAGTTTATTCCAGTAAGTGGTACCCTCCAATAAGGGCATGACAGAAAGGGTAAGTGTAAACGGACACAATTCATTAGAACGTACATCGACAAAGGCAAGCATCAAATGAGTAATATAATGACGTAGTGATGAATAATTATAACTCAACAGGGAACATCAGAAAAGCAATTTGATTGTGCAATTTATATGTAAATGTTAACTGCATTTTTAAATGTTTACAACAAACTTTGATGTGTTCAAATGTAAAAATCCAAATTCTGTACTATAACGCATAAATAGTCTAGTATCTGTGTATTTCTATGATCGTCTACAACAAGTTTAATACGTTATGCTACCTTCTTTTACTTTTATTTCCTAAGCTATTGCTAGAGCCATGAAATGATCTGTTCATTTTTCAATCCATTAAGACGTTAATAATTCACCTATGATTGGATGAGCAGCACCAATATGTTAGCTAAGATCTTTATACCACCGCTCCATCACACTAACCGTTTTAAAAAATCTTCCATAAACAAACTGTAGGAGTCCCATAGCAACGTGGACTTCACAAGGCGTTGAAAGCAGAGCCATTATGTTTCACGGTAAGTATAACTTTCAAACTAATTTTTATCGTTAATAGAAACAAGTCACTAAAACGTTTAATCAGTTAATCCGTTGTTCAATATTTATGCAACAATAAACAAATCGATTCGATTTCTTACAATCTCCTGTCAGCCAATAATCTAATGGTGCACTTTAAAAATTGATTATAATTAGACTTAAATACCGCTGGACCTTGACTCAGTTTTCTAGAGGTTTAGCGTTCACGTGTGATCCCCTGGGGTGCGGTCGTGAATGAGTACTTCTAAGGGGTCCTAGATCAAAACAAAAACATACTGTTTAGGTGGAGTTTTGTTCTCTGATTGCAAATTCCAGGTTTGTGCTGACGATGTTGTTTAAAGAACAATAAAAACTCCACATACAAATAGTGCAGCTCAGAGAACAAAACTCCACTTAAATCATTTATCTGAGCTACAAATCTTTCCCACTATCTCATAAAGGCTGTCCACTGCTTCAAAATTTCCTGCCCTAAATTTAATCGAGGGGCTTCAAGCTTAGTAATCAGCACTTAACCTTCAGACCACTAAGTTGATTGGTTTAATTACCCAAAAAAGGAATCGAGTAGTTATTTGTTAGCAATGGTTCTCACAGTTACTATCAAATTGAAATGAAAAGACTGCTTTGGGAGTAATGAAATCTTTCAAAAACGCGGATATTACGAAATGTGATAAATACCTTAGCTGAAAGTATACACGAAATCTGTTTTCATATGTTTAATTTTAAACTATAGATTACTTGATCTATATTTAAGAAAATATATTTCAGTAATAAACTGTTTGTTATTAATGGGGTTGTTTATTATCATACCAGATCGATATGGGTCAGAATCAGCCGCGACAGTATAGATAATCCCACCCATCATCTTCTCATAAATCCCGAGTTTAAAAATTCTTTTGTACTTTTTATACTGTTGATTCATTACTTCTTCCCTAATCATTTTGTTCGTACGTACGTACAAAGTTCTACGTTGTTACTGACTGACTGACTGATGAATGTTTTCAATCTCCACTAATACTGTTGATAATTCCAATTCTTTATAATTACATCTCACTGTACTGTTATGGTGAAGAAACTTGAATCAATGGATATATTCATCAAGTTCTGTGTTGCTTACAATTAACCAATCGATTAATTAGCTGATACTAAATTGCCCGATCAAATCATTACATGTGTGTACACTAACATTTGAAATCCGATTTTATCTTAATATACTGAACCCGTAGTAATACATTAGTTTATTTCCCAAAACAGAATGATTGTTTTGAATATGGTAAATTAACAGTGAATAACAAAATTTAAAAAAATGGGATAACAACAAAAATAACAACAATAATAATAAAAGAAAAGAATTCAGACGGTGCTTTTATTCCATCAATCTCTTTATGTTGATTGTTTTTCTATTCTGAATTCTTTTTTCATGATTCAATATTCAAGATGATGATAATTCTTGTCCGTATAAATGATGTGTACATAATTTAACATAAATTTGATTATTATGCAAATTACACAAATTATTCATAACTACCAACTGAGTTGTTCATCCATATGTTGCTATATATCTATCTATCTATCTATCTATCTGTGTATCATGATAAACGGGGGAAAATATTTGACTGTTTAGAGAGAGAAAAAGGCAAATGAGTCTGAAAGTGTCTGAATGGTATTCACTGTGAAAAAAACAATTAGCAGAGATGATATTTAAATGAGTGTTGATAAATACATGGAAGAATAATTAGGTAACATTGAATCTGCATACAAACATACATACATACGTACATAAGCACGTATTCACACAAGTAGTTTTACATACTTTTTGTTCGAACTTTAATTTAATTACATCAAAATATTAAGAACAATAACATGATGTCTATAAAGAATATTAAAAAAACTTAAAAAAATAGAGAAAAAGATTTCCATCCAGGTAAAGGTGAAACACGATTTATAAAATGAAGGAAAGTTAGGGATGGAAACAAATCGACGCCGGCTTAATAGTTTACAAACTAAACACTCGCTATGAAACCTGAAGATCCTGTGTTTTTATCCCCTTTGAGGGGATTTATGGATAGATATAGAGAAGGAGTCCAAATATAAAGAAAAAAAGGAGGTGTACAGTGGTTCTATATTTGGAATGGTTAATATTTAATTAGGATACGTTCGTGGTAAAAACTATAACATTCAACAGTCTTTACAATGTTATGATAAAAAATATTCGAACTATTATTAGAATGATGTGAAACCATTGTAATGTAATACACAACGATTTTTCTGGTTAGTGTTTTTTTAGCGAGTTAGTTTCCTACGAGATGGGGTCGCTAACCTCATGCCCAACCCTCCTCCTTTATCCCGACTTGCGAACGGCATTAGCCCCCGGAGGGACTGTCAAACAACAACAAGGTCAAGATTTTTAATACAAATGTCAAGACAGTTCTACTGTATGGGAAGGAAACCTGGAGAAATACGAAAGCCATCATTCAGAAAATACATGTGTTTATTAACAGTTGTCTATGAAAAATACTTCGGATCCGTTGGCCGGACATTATTAGCAACAACCTACTGCGGGAGAGAACAAATCAGATCACAGCAGGGGAAGAAATCAGGAAGAAGCGCTGGAAGTGGGTAGGACACACATTGAGGAAAGCACCCAACTGCATCACGAGACAAGCCCTCACATGGAATCGTCAAGGCGAAAGGAGGAGAGGAAGACCAAAACACACATTACGACGGGAAATGGAGATAGACTTGAGAAAAATAAACAAGAATTGGATGGAATTAGAAAGGAAGGCCCAGGACAAAGTTGGTTAGAGAATGCTGGTCGGCGGCCTATGCTCCATTAGGAGTAACAGGCGTAAATAAGTAAGTAAGTAAGTAATATACAACGACAGTACATTTCTTAACAATTTAACGACTTTGTGATCGTCTTTGGTTCAGTCAACCAAACTTGTCAACAGATTTATTCTTTATCATTGTAAATTAATAATATTCACTGTACTATAAATTTTTTTGAGCCATTCTCAGAACATTTAAACATGATCTGTTAGTGAAATGATAAAAAAGATTTACAACTCAGGTGGATGATTTAAATGTTGATTGTATCCTTTATAATAAATGACCTAACTGTGATCGTTGTCAACATCACAATATGTAACTTAATACATTTAAATCGTAGAACACCATTAACAATAAAAATTAGTAAAATACATTAGAAGAAATGTTTCGAGTGTTTAATAATATGGTATCTTTAATGAACTTAATTTTGGCTACAAAAAATGAACCTTCATCAATTGAATCATTTTCAAATATAAACATTATACATATGTAAATTACATTTTAAATAGTTACCTCATCTACGGATCTAAGCCAATATTTACGTATTTGTTCAAATGATTCTATATCTGTTACATCATAAACGATGATAAAACACTATTAACAGAAAGTAAAGAACAGGGAGAAATTACAGTAATTTCAATAACCAAAATATGAACTATTATTATTATTATTATTATGTTTTCAAAACATTTTTAGGCATAAATAAGTTTAAATATCAAAGAGAGTTTTAATTCAACTCTAAGTAGTTTAGATTATTTCATTGTTATTTTTGACCGAAATTTTATTTAAACAGATAAATACTGGTACAAATGGGCACGGAATAAATATGCGTCACACAACTCACTTAATTTGTATGTAGGCTGTGATACTCCCCGGGTTCCCGGACTAAAGCAGATGGTTTTCTCAGGGGGTTACAACCGGAGCCTTCAACCTAAAGGTCTGATCCACAAAGCAGTGGAGTAACGTCAGGAGATGCAGTACTATGTTAGCCGGTGACCATCAATTGGTTCATACGCCATTTGTTCCCTTAGGATACTGGAGCCCATGCGAACTATTGATTTAGAATCAAAATTTTCCAACTCTCCTAGGTGGACCCTCCGTGACCGAAATTTGATCAGTATAAATTGGCATATGTGCATCCAGTATGGATTGTCTCGATGTAGTCATTATGATACAAGCTAAGTGGATAACATGATGATTTGTTGTTAAAGCGAACAATGCTTGATTCGAGTTAAGGAGTGGAGACTAATTATGAGAAATATATACTTCCAGCTGACGAGTCCTGAAGAGGACAAAGTGCACATTCCATATTCCATAACTAGCTTTATTCCATTTATTCTATGTCAAAGAAACCTGGTTGTTGAATACTCAAAAAAACGTTGAACATACGTTTCATGGTTTCATAGTTTACATCATGGACAGTTATATGAAATAGCTATTTAGTCTTAGAACGGAATTCATTATTGCTCATTCACCTTCGAGGCTACTGGAGAGGGCTCAATCTTAAGGCTACTGAACCTATATCCATTAATTTGTCTCTATGGCTTTTAAAAATAGTTGAAGCTTTACAGACAAACTACCTAGCTGAAAAGGAACACACTAATTCCAGAAGCATCTACTTGAACCGATAATTTTCTTCAATAAGGAGAAAATTAGGCAAAGAAATAAAAACTTTCTTACTAAAACTATTTTACAAGTGTTGTGATATTATTGTGTCATAGATTTTCACAGTTTGCACTTCAATTAGTCAAACACTAAGAATCGGGAAGCAGTCTACATCTATTTCGTCCCAATATGGGTGGAACTTAATGGTGATGCTCCTCCACAATGGCGCTGGTGATCGAACCAACGGCTTTTTGACATCTGAGCAAGCTCCTAATCTTTACACAATCGGGCTAATATCCAATGGTTTACATGTAAAATTTCAATCAATTTACGATTTTGCTTGACCATTATCCATTGTTGTTCGTTACAGTTATTTCGCGAGTGACATCGTTGATCTTCACTGGTAATGACTTCTCACTACAGCTGCATAAACTACCATTCATAGTTAAGTGACTATTTTCACCTTTATTTTTTTGTACACTATACTTAACCTTCATCACTCAGTGGAAAAGCGTTAACCACACGGAAAATGTTAACGGTTTTATTCTTCATTTATCTCAAAAATGGCTTTTTTGATAACGTGATGAGTAGCTGATATTGATTTTAAAAATGTAACGTATACGCATTATACATTCCGATTAGTTTGATCACACATATATCATTGTGAAGGCATTTTTACTTACAAAAAACTAGTCAAGGTCACCGATTTAATTAAAGGTCAAATAAACATAAAGTGATAATTGAAAATAAACAAAAGAAACAATTAATATAATTTCGAATGAATAAGAACCCTATCGCAGACCATCCTAGGCCTTTAAATCAAATAGATTCAAGGTTGCAATCAATTGTTTTGTCAAAAACACAAAAAGGGTTTGAGCTTATTTATGCCCAAGGCCTACATTAACTTAAGAATATAACTTTGACCAGATTATTCAAAGTGTACAGTGTCAGAACATATTTACAGATTAACTCCATCTTTACATTATAAGATTATCGAAATGTGCAAAATGAGCTTATAGCTTTATCGACATTCACACTTGAAAGAAGTACGCGGCATAACTTCAATAATACTATGCCCAATAGCTTGTAATATTTACACACTATCCGTAATCAGTAATAAAGGCACTTTAATTGGTTGATTTTCAACTGATCATCATCTCACTCAGTGAATGAATTGGTAAAGACGAACCATATGAGTGAGCTGAAGTCATTTCTAATGACTTTGATAAATTCTTGACCATATTTCGTCAGTCATAAAACATCAAATATGAACGATTTATAATGTTAATACCAAGATTTAGGTTGTAGAATTAAACGTTATCATCAGAATGGATTTTGTGGAGATTTTTAGAAAATTCACAGGTTAAAATCATGAGTCAATTGAAGCTAGACCACCATGGAAAACCTGGAAGCACTGGACGGTCGTTTCGTCCTAGTATGGGGCCCCTCAGCAGTGCGCATCCATGACCCCGCCCCCCGCGGGATTCGAACCCAGGACCTAGTGGTTAAGTGCTCGTGCGCGGCCGTCCAGTGCTTCCAGGTTTTCCATGGTGGTTTAACCTGCAAAAGTCATTTTTTCAAGGCTAAGGATATAGGGCTAGAATGCAGAGTTTAGAATTTAAGGATAGGTTTGGGATATAGAGCGTAGGATTGTTAGTTATAGCCGTAACTGACCATCCACATTCAATAGATAATACTCTGTTTTAATGTACACACCTTGATTTTGAAACTATTTCCACGTATATCATAGGCTTACCTGCATATTTTAGTTTAACAGATAAATTCTTAAAAAAATATTACATCACTTTTATTTATATCAACTAGCGAACTATTGACAGAGAGAAATGAGTAATAGACACCTGCTACGCTTTAGGTTTGAGACTTTTCTGTACTATACATTAATTATGTCCTATTCGTGATAAATTGTTAAACAGAAATCCACTATCTAAAATTCACTTTCAAGTATTCTATACCTGATTGTTCTAACATTTGAAAAGGCATAAGAAATGAGAAAGGACATCTTAGTATCATCTGATTGTAGCAAAACAACTGAGTCGAAACCATTGGGAAATAAAACACTGAAATAACAATGCTGACTTAGAAATTTATGTCAATATATTGGGCACATATAGTCGTTTAATAAAGAGTGATATTCAGAAGTAGGCTAAAGAAATATTCCTAACCAGTATCAAGAATAGTTCACCAGTATCCATCATCAGTCTTGGTTTTTCCAAACTAAATGAATAAACGATTTGTAAGAGAAGTCAGTGATCGTTGGTCAAAGCTAATATGAGAATTAGAGACTGTTTAAGGTTTCATTTAATATACGAAATCAATACTTGAAGACTTTTTCTGATCTAAAAATTACACAGACTAAAATTCACGTTCAACTTTTTTGATCGGAGCAAATTATTGTGGGAAATGGAATTTTTAGAACTGTTAGGTAGTTGGAGATAACTGACAGGCAACCATGGGCCTAGGCTTCGTGCTATTTTGATACTAGTCAACAAAGTTTTGCCCGTAGTCTTGGGGGATAGGTGCCCTTGTGCTACGTAGGTTTACATCTTAAGACATCGCTGGGCCGCCAGTTCCCTCAATACTACAGGCACATCATGCTGACGACACCTAAGTTCCGATTTGGATAACCTCTAAGTATCAAACATCTTAACATATGTCACAATAGCCTAATTCCCTCAGAGTATTGAGCACTTTGGAACTTGATCGGTAGAATTCGATCACCACTTAAAAGGACCAGACAAATATGACATTAGTCACCACTCAGTGATCAATCGATTGTAACCTATAGAAGTATTCTACGGTTAATCATTATATCCATTTTAATTTCTCAGCTATTAAATGCTTGGTGTATGGCAAATTCATATGACTTACTGCAAAATTTATTTCATTCACTAACTACTGTTATTTGTTTGTCATTCTCTAATTGCGGTTAATTAATTACTCCCCTACTGTTCAGTTCTCTAGCATGATCAGCCATACTCACTGGAGCAGTTTAATTTCTAACTAGTAATATTCATATGACGAGGAATGACAAATGCAAATGACATATGAAACTGATCCACTGAGTGTAGGTAGTAATGTGAGTCAATAGTAGACAGTTTTAAAGTCAGTTTTAATCCAGATTTAGATACGATGCCTCATTCAAAAGTCTAAGAACGTCCTTCGAATCCAAATTCATTACTTTTAATTTTAGTTCCATAATATTCAACGTCGTCTACAGTAAATGGATACTCATGATATTGAGATTCAGTTCATAAAACAATTTTTTGATTGAAGAGAAGAGATAAAGTGAAATTAAAAACGTCTGCTGAATTATCAATTAGATGACAATGGAGAATTATCTCAAATACAAGGTCAATAAAAGAGATATAGTCTGTAGACTAAACGGACAAAACGATTTTCATGAGAACAGGAGCATATACTAAACAAAATCCAATGTTATCATTGTTTTGCCAATGTTATCCAAAAAGAATCCCATATCATTTGATGAAGGTGATATTGTAGGGGCGGATACTATGCCAAGCCCACATAGGTCATTCTAGCTTCTGAATAGATCAATCTATTCATTCTACTCAAGCCACATTTTTACCCTATCACTTATTCGGTTGTGATTCTGGACTGTTTTGTTTTATGATCACATGTGTGTTAATTACTTACCCTACTCATTATGAGTCTATAAATTTTTTTTTCGACTATCAATATCGATTCACGGTTGGTTAAATTGAGTTGGCTAACATGACTTCCCCAGCCCATGTCGCTTCCTTCTCTCCATCTCTCTGATTGTTTGTTGTGATCAATGATTGTACGAAATATAGGTATTCGGAAATCCATCCTCGTATATGACTTATTTAATTTCGTTTTTTACTAACGTGGTTTAAGTCGATGATTATATACGATGGTAGCCATGATGTATATTTCGGCAGTAATCACCCGATGACGATCATTTGTTCGATCTAACTGTAGTCAGATATAGGGCCACTAAAATATGACGAACAATGACTTAGTCAATTCCAATGATAATGACAAAGGAAATGAATCTTTATCTAATCAGTTGTGACATGCAACCACATCATGAGAAAGAGTAGTTATTTAACTCAGTCAATTAGTTATATTCGTTAGTTATAGATGCCGAATTCTATGATATTGTAAATATGTTCGTATTGTATGTCACTGACTATTTGGTAATCAATACTACACAATTCACTTTATACATATTTAACTGTGAGTAAATCATACAATACAAAACAAATTATGTATTCAAATATCAGTTTGATTTATTTTAGAGGTCAATTACATTCATATCAATTATGTTTGTGTTCTTAATATACATCGTCCGATCCAGGGTTTCAATATCAAGCATAATTCAATTCAGCATTCCACCTAACTACTGATTATCACTATTAGTCTTTTTTTTCTTAATCACTTAGATAGGAATTGATTTTCTCACAACACAAGCATAAGATTAGTAAAGTTGGTATCTAATTGGGACTTGAATTCAATCATTCATTAACAAGTCATATGATATAAATGACATTACTTTTTCAAAAATTATCACTTTTCTACATTGGAAAGTATACACATTTATTAAAAAATTAAGTTAGTGGAAGCATTTTTATGTATCGTCAGATTCTAATTCATATTTTGATCAATTATAAACTTCATCTAAGATGGCAGGAATCATGAAAAATTGAGTTGGACAAGAAACAGGTATAGTAGATTTGTTAAGATTTATTGATTTTTGCGAAGTCTGCTGTTATTATATGAAGCATTCGAAACGGAGATCGATACATAAACTTTCTATAAGTATGCTCCTAATCGGTTACTTAGTGAGAAGACTAAGAGCAAGGAGGAAGTTTTGTTGGTTCAGTTGAACCTCTCGAAAAACAAGACCATTTCTTGGCCAATAACATGAACTTATCATTAGGAGACTTGATTAGCAATAAAAAGACCCTCACTGTATATCATGTTCAAACCTCACCAACTAATTTTTAGTGGTTTGAGGTTATAATTTGTGACTTAATCGTTAAAAGTTCAGTAACTTAACCACTAAAAAGTTGATAGTCAATAATCTTGTGTACATTTACACTGGTTTCATTTGAGAACTTTTGTTAAACAGTTACTGTACTGTAAAATACATAAGGGAAACAACATCAAATCATTCATATATTCTAGATTATATGTTTCACAGCTATTCTGTACACTAAACCGCTAAGACGATGTCAACCCTATTATACGTTCAGATATTAAAAATGTTTTTATTTCGTGTGTTTACATCATATTGATAGGAAAGAACTTGAAATACAATTGAAATTATATAAATAGTTGGTTTAGTCCTTATTTTAATTAAATACAGAATTAAATCATTGTCTGTTTTACACTATATTCAAATGTAAGTTTATAACATAATTTCAGTGTTTCAAATTAAAATACTCTCTAGTTATAAAGCGTTCAAATAACTGCGTTACTGTGTTTGGTCAATAAAATAAGGCTTCGTACTCAAATGCGATGGTAACTTTTATCCTCGACTACAACTATAAGTGATATGAATTCAGGAATCATACAGAAACAATTAGTTTTTACAAGATTGCAAATATACTGTACTGACAAATGTAAACTTGGATGAAACCCGGTGTCCAAGGCTGAGTACTTCTTGTTTTGTAATCCAATTAACATCAAAATAGTGTATGTAATATTCAGTAACCCAAAGGCTACACTGCTAATTGATTGATAGGATGCGGTCAAACATAAGGTATTCTAAAACGTGATACTAGTTATTATCCAATAAGTAATCAGTTTATTTGGCATCAATGTCGAATCATTCAGTCAAAGACGCCATACTTATCTAATTCATGACGTACATATGCGGTCACTCATAATGTTATTAAGTTGAAAGAAACCAGTTAGAACCCGTATATATAGGTTTAATCTTTATTAGAAATAGTCTGAAATGTTGAAGCAACTATTTCTCATCACGGGATTCAAGTTTGTATTGGCCAGTATTAAAACCACAGAAATAATTAATTAGTACAACTACAAAAAAGTATGTTGGTTACGAGAATGTTATCCACTGAAGGCAACGGAAGACAGTTGAACAGTATCATAAATTGTGACTGAAGTTAGACATCTACGCTGTTGGATGTTGGCTCATTATTCTGAGATTAAATGTTCACACTCAAAGTCAAATGTCACGGGTTCGATTCTCCCCGATGGGGTCGTGGAAGAACACTTCTGAGGACCACCATAGTAGGCCGAAATAACCGTCCATTCCTTCCAGGTTGTCAATAATGGTCTAGCCAAGATCGATCCGTGATTTAAATTACGAAACTATAATTCTACTTTCCTTTTATAAATAAACCTTATGATATATAATGGTTGTATTTTCAAAACCATAAAAGACTTTTATTCTCGAAAAAAAGGTTTTTATTTTCACTTACTTTAGCCTCTCGAAAATGTAACGATACAATAGAATGATATTGTTCTTGACCTGCTGTATCCCTGTAAAATATTAAAAAGTAACAATTTTCTATACGTAGTAGAAATGTTAAGCAGTGTAGCTTCAGCTTTAAAATTATTGAAGTTGAGTTCACCTAAGTAACAATGAAGTAAACAATGGTTATTTGAAGTATTTCAATCTACAATTTCTGTTCAAGTTATGAAGTCAGTTGTTACTTCCAAGTTGAACACATCATGGAAGGATATTTGAGGGATCTGAAAAGTCATGTATATTATAGCTAGTCTTCAAGACTCTGTAAGTTGATAGAAATACCCAAAAACAAATTTTTGAAAGTTATTCACATATATCATTTCATCAAAGAAGTTTTTGAAGTGTTAGCTTTGTACTTTTATCAATGATTCATTGGATAATTTAGTGAGCTAAGGAATTAGGAATTCAAAAATAGATAAAGTTTTGTAGACATGAATTCTTTATGTCGATATGGCATCAACAGTGATCTCCCTACAACTAAATCTTTATCTTTTCAGAGAATTACAGAATAATTATTCTGTAGGCAATTATAAATTTACTATAAGGTTATTTACAACTATGAGAAAGATTTGGAAAGAAACCATTCGTGTGAATAAATCCACATTCAGATTTTTAAGGTTCTGTAACCATATTTCCACAATATTAAAATTAGAAAACTGATAATATACATTGCAAAATCAATTAATTTCTTAAAACTACCATACTCTCACAAATGTCATCACCTTATTAGTTAAATAATTTTGATTTATATAAACTTTACTGATTGACTTAAAAAATATCTTGAAAATTACGCGGTCATTTTAAGGGTTACTCGAGCTCATCCCTACACTATATTTATATCATGATCTCCACATATCTTCTATCTTAAGATATCTATGATTAAAATAGAAAATGGAGTGTTATCATGAAAACAATTCGCATTTGGGGAAAACAAAAGTTCTATCTAGGCATAACTGTCAAGCTAACGTTATCTAAGCATTTGCTTTTGCTTTATAAACATTACAACTTATTATATATAGTTTGTATAACATAACGTAATATAGAACTTACCATACTTCTAATTGTACACGATGATTTCCGACTGTGAATATTCGTTTAATCAAGTCAATACCTTAAATAAACAAGCAAAAATAAAAATGATTATGAAATTTAATTATTGAAAAGTTTTAAGATAGATTTATTCTTCTATGTGAACAAACTTCTTTAACTGCTTCGAATTCACGTTGAATATTCATAGTGATTTGAATAAATGATCATCATCATCAAATACAGTGTATAGAACAAACTGACTTCATTTATTAAAAAAATAAGAGATAGGTGTTTCAATCGAGCTTGTCAGTATTTTCTTCTCCTGAACTTCACAGAGATCGGATCCAAAATACTCAGTTCTTGTGCAAATGTGTTACTTTTATACTATCTGGTTAAAATCCAATGATCCACAGTTCTCACTTCAGTCAATTCACGATATTGAATAGAATAAGTTCATGATACAAACTAACAACTTCATAAATATCGTATAACAGTGAATCTATAAATAAGAATTGAGTTTGTACATTTGTAGTTATCATCTGTTATAAATAGTCTCATTATCACATTGTTGAGTATGAGTAAAGGAAGCAGTTTATTGTTTTACCGATTTATACATTGATATCATTCCCTTTACCATTTGGATTAATAAAGATGTAATTAACAGTAGCATTATTTCAGTTTTTAATCAGTATATCATGTGTTTAAGTGTTCCTATCTTACCAAAATAAACAATGCATAGAAATGTTTTTAATGTGTGGCAGTGAAAGTAAGATGTAATTGGCTATTGGATATGAACTGGTAGACATCAACTATTTAATAACTGCTTTCCTGTCCTATCACTGATCTCTATTTTAAGCTCAATGAATGTGAACTGATCGTAATTGTGTAAACTAAGGTATCGACCAGCCTATCATTTGGTCATGAATCAGGTATCTAGTAAAACATGATCCAGTCTGTGTATGGTTCATCAATAGAGTATTCAACCTAGTGGTAAAATAATTATCGTCACCGGTATTATATAACCATGGAAAACAGGAAATAGTTTTACTCTCACAGTAAATCATTTTGATTGATAAATCTTCATTCTTGATTTGTCCCTATTCATTCACGAACTTAAGTCAACTGTATCTCACACGGGCATAGACAGTTCTTTTGACAAATTTTAAACTGTAGTGATCAGGTTCAACGTAAATTTTGTTTTTCTTATTCCGAATAGTTACATGTATTTGAAACTTTAGCAAATCTTCAAGATTCAATGAAGTTTACTTTTTCTGACATTTAACAATTGTTAAAATATTGTTATCTACCAAACAACCGTTATTTATAAACGTTTGTCCTAGGGTTTCATGGTAAGTCTTAAGGCTTTGATCTGACAACAAGAGCTGCCGTTTTATATTACTTCACAGAGATTTACTATGCAAAATGCTTCTATCACTTTGGATAACTCAGTTTAAAACCAAGAGTTAACTATGGAAGTTTATATATTCCAGGGAATAAATGGAACTAGGGAGAGAGAATAGCCAGACAAACATGTTTACAGACGATTTAAAAAGGACAGAAAGTGAATACATAATCAGTCAATAGGACAAACAAGCATACTGTACATTGTTTAAGTGTTCAATTAAACTGTCAAGTATATACAATATAAGACTAATTATGATACAGATAGATCGAAAATATTCTACATTACTTAATAACGGTCATGGGTTCAAAAAAATATTCAAGGGTATGCAAAATAAGTCTACTATAAAGGTTCTACACGATCAAGTTTGTTAATAGATTCATGTTTAAAATAATCGAACTAAAAGTTGATTTAAAAAAACAATCTTCATTTTTAAATATGGTCTTTTGTGGCGTTAAAGACTTATTGATAAAGTTTTGGTAGATAATGCTCAACCGATATGGTGAATATCTCGTTGCTTCCTATATAAGTTTCCAAGATAAAAATGTGTATATTACTGAAATTTTAACTAGTGAATCCTGACTTAGGTTTTAAGCTAATCAATAGTTCATCGAAAAAATGTTTTTACAACCTTTAGACAACAAGTGCTTTCTGTGTCATTAAAATTCAATCGGCATTAAGAACTAGATAAATACGATATTCGGGGTTCACACTTAGTGATCATTCCATTCGCATAACTTGGTGTTATAATGGAATGAACATTGCAATGGTTGGGACTAATCCTTCGAAATATTACTAATAATAATATTTTTGTATGATTACCGAGTAACTAAATTGCTGTGTACAGATATTCTATTTATCATAAGTTTCAGTTAACACATTAACTACGGTTATAAAACTGACTATTCCGAATTTGTTGCCAGTCAATTACTTACAGTGTCCCTTACTCGCAGATAACTTTTGACTTGATCACGTATAAGTTATACTTTTCATTTTATGGTATGATGCATTCTGATCTGCCTGTTTATAAACCACGTCTGTTTGAATTATAAATATCGTAGAGACTGATCGCTACTTCTGAATCCGAGTCTGGGCATAGAGAAGAGCTTGTGGCTAACAGACTAATAAGAACTCAGCTTCAGTCTTGAGGTCAGCAGTGATAATCGTTCATGTAACCGGTCAATTTTGGGACACTGGGCTGTTTAAGAAATAGTAGACGCGAAACAGGTAAAACTAGAATTAGGATTCTGATTGGTGACTTGGCATTTGATATTGATCAGTGGTCTCAAGACATAACACTTAGTCTTGCTGTAAGTTCCAGCTAGGAAAGCAAAGTTTTGCCACCTCTGAATGAACATTATAGAATACTATTTACTGGTTCTAACTGACATGAAACAAAGGTCCGCGGCTTTTGATTGATCACTTTCAGCCACATAACATCCAAATACATCATTTTTTTATTCCTATTATTGAAAACTTTAAAAGTAGACTGAAGACATATACATATTTTCCTTTCTTCTCTACCAATAAACTGAAAATATAATCAAGAATTTTAGATTGTGTTATATACTTTTGATCCCTAAATATGACTGATATTGCAAGCCCATTTTAGTCAAACTATCATTGAAAAATTTCGATAATGTAATAGGAAGACGAAGATCGTCAGAACTATGTGAAATATTAGCGCAATACTTAATATATCACATAGTTCTGATAATCTTCGTCTTCTTATTCCATTATCGGAATTTATCAAAGGGTCTAATTGCTTTAAATCATTGAAAACCTGGAAGCAGTGGACGGCCATTTCATACTAGTATGAGACTTTGCAGAAATGTGCATTCCGGATGCAAGGTTGTTGATGAGCAAACTACCGACGAGTATCATCGAAGAATATAATGTACGTCCACTTCTTTCAAACTCCGCCTGCAGCTCTTCTAGAGTCACTGCCGGTCCCAAGCCTGGGTAAAGGAGGACTGTTGAGCATGGGGTTAGCGACCCCATTCCGTAGAAAACTAACTCGCTGAAAAACGATAACGCTAACCCACTGCTTTCAGGTCTAATTAAGATCAGTTCGTGATTTAAAATCCATGAGCATTCAGTCAACACCACAAAAAGCCTTATATTCATAGTATATCAATTTTTCTAACATTTCATATTAACTAATTATATAAATTACTTATTATGACTAAATAATAAATAATTCTTATGTAATCAATCAAGAAAAAGATGTTGATTATCATATGTTCATTATGAAAATAATAAGTCAACAATAAAGCTTATTTTCAACAGTTGAGACCATGAGTCAATTAAAGCTAGACCACCGTGGAAGACATAGGAGCACTGGACGGCTGTTTCGTCCTATCGTGGGTCTCCTCAGCGGTGTGCATCTACGACCCCGCCGCGCGATGTTCGAACCCAGGACCTACCAGTCTCGCGCCAGGCGCTTAACCAACTAAACCACTAAGCCGGCATCCAACGGTGTTAATGTCTAAATTCAACTAATCCACGAAACTGAGTGACACATCCACCATTGTCATCAGTGAGTTACTACCACACAACTGACCCGGTTGAAGTCCACTGGTCACTGCTTCTCACTAGAACTCCAGGATATATCTCTTGAAGCCATTCACTAGTGATCTCAACTGTTGAAATTACTACAATCTCCAAAAAACTCCTTTTAATAATAAAATTTATACCTTGTACTTTACACTAAGAAAAACAAAAACAAAAAAACTAAATGAAATCAACTGATTTAATACTTCATTATATGCATAAACTAAACTGAATGATTAATTAGTTGTAAAAAATTGTTTTCTTAAATGTTTAAATTTGGTTTGTTCAATTACATCATAATGGACAGTATGTTTACTGTTTGATGTTTTGATTTTTATCAATACTTTTGTTATAAAAAGATTGTATTATTACACTTGGTCTATAATAGCTCATTGAAAATGTCAATTTTTTGATACTAATTGAAGTTAAAGGATAATAATGTTAATAGAATTGCTCTTGTATGTTTTATTGCCTGTAAGATGTTTAAATTTCTAGATGATTATTGCTACAGAGTTTTGTGAAGATTGTAGAAATTTTATAGTTTAAGTCATGAAATGATCTTAAATAGAGAACTACTGCGAGCAAAGATTCATTGGATAACTTTTTTTTTGTCTTAATATGGTTTTACTAAGAAGTTCTCATCCACGACCTCACGTCAAAGGATTGAGTTCAGGATCTATATTTTTGCTCACTAATATTTAACCCCTAGACTAGTGAGTCTATATTCAAAGGTGTATATGTTTAAGTTTAATCAGTTCATGATCCTGACCTGTCATCTTCTATTGTGGATATCTGTCTCACACTCGAAATGGTTGAACTGCACTAGCTACGGTTTATTACTTGGATTCCATGAACTTTATTTTGAAATTAGTCGCTACTGAACACATGATTAACTATCAGTACACGTTTTGTGTATATTGTAGGATTTCCATAGTTTAAAGCATATCCAAAGCTTCCTGATTTACAATAGTTGTCTAGCTAAGATCAGTTTGTGAGCTAATAATAAAACGTAGGTATCATTAACAAGGTTTGACTTGATAATACAAATACTATATTTTTAAAAGACTAGTATTTTTATTTATAATAATAAAAAGGTTTGGTAAACGTTAAATGATGACAACGTAAAACAGAGCTAAGGAAAACAAGTTATGCAACAAAATGCCGTTAAAAAAGGTTGTTGTTATTTAGCCATTGGCACAAATCAAATTCTGTTTATCACGATGTAATGTTATAACTGGTCTCGTTAGCCCAATATCACGATCCACATTTGATTTGATTTTAAGTGATTAGAAGTAATTGGAAGAAAGTCGAGGGTTTGCATCTCATACTAGTTGGTATTCGTTGACAAGGCAATGTTTGAGATCTACATGATGCTGGTGCTCCTCGTATGATTCGAACTAGTGTCATCCAGCATGACAGTCAGATGCACTTCTACTGAGTTGTTTGGACAGTAATTGATCTTCAAAAAGAGTCAAACGTTTTCACTCAAATTAATCAACTTGTAGTAACTACTAATACGCTTTCAAGACCTTAGTGTTTATTACTTTCTCCCGACCGATGTCTAGAGTTTTACTTCAATCATCTATGACCTATCAGTACATTCATATTTCATTAAAAATTTCTAAATTAATGAATGATAAAAAATGATTGACATAACTTACCGATTGTTGAAATAGTAGTTTGATAAAATGTTTCACCAACAAGAGCTCTAAGTATTGATGTTTTCCCTACACCGGAATTACCAAGTAGCAATACTTTAAAATGTGCATCAAATCGTTGTTCACCTGTTCCCCCTCCAGTACCATTTACTGAAATTAATGGACTACTTTTTTTCGTTTTTCTCATACCATTTTGTTGTAGAAATTGTTTGACATAACCATTTTGTTTAAGTTGTGTTGTTGTTCGATTCGATGGGATTTTACAATTGGTTGTATTATAAGGCTCAGAACCGTAAATACTTTCGTGTAAATCAAATGCGTATGACATTGATAATAAATATATGTAAAGTTTTTCTATATCATTTAAACGTTTATAATCCGATAATTATATGACTTCCAAAATGATTGAATATAAATGTTTATATTATCGTAACAATAGAATCATACTCATTGGATTATTAACTAACTATTGAAAATATAAAATTATCAAATTAACGCTGAAATCCATTCAGGTAACGTGGTTTATGCCTACAAAGCAAATGGATCAACATTTTGACCTGATCAGTTAAACAGTTCAGTCATTTTATTGAATATTTAAATAATAAGACTAGTTATAGTCATAACTATAAATTAGAAATAATAATCTTAACTAAAATAAATAGTCATCGCATGATTATGAACAAAAATCGAATAAACAAAAACAACAGTTTTCAAAAATATCGTTCGAAGATGAAAGAAGAAAAATGGGAAAGAGCATCAGGAATTTAGTAATCATGAATATCCCACGTGAATGACAAGATATTTTGTATCATCAACTGAAATATAAATGTTAATTGGAGTCTGCTTCTATGAAACGTAGAAGTCAAAAGACAATATCAGAATTTACTGAATGACCAATGTCTAATATATGTCTTCCTATGGCATTATCAGGTAGTTTGAAGTTACTCATGTTCAAGTTCTTTAACCTTTGTCCCAAATTTCTTACATTTCTTACATGTTATTCCAAGGAGACGAGAATATGTACATACAACTTGAGGCAAATTAGGCAGATACATCATCTAAGTTAAATTCTATGAATAACCCTTTTAAACCATATTTAATTGTTATAATGGTAACTGAAAAAGTCGATGCAATACTGACCCCTTGGAATAACTTTCTGTAGCACACCATTTGTTGGTTTAAAACTATTATTTATGAGCTTTACTAGATAATCTGATTATCTTCAAGATGATTTTTTCTAACAAAACTTCTTCAATCATTTACAAGTTTATTTGTATAATAATATAGTTCAGTTCATGAATTTAAATCTTGTTTTACCGATGAAAATGCATCACAAAGCCGTGACCAGTGGAGCTAATCCGTGTCGGGTAGAAACAGGTGTCTACTTCAGTACAGTGGAAGATGGTCGTGCAATTTCGTGGATTGGTTGAGGTTAGACATTAACACCATTGACTCAGTGGTCCAGTAGGTTAGGCGTTTGCGCGCGAGACTGAAGGCCCTGGGTTAGAATCCCGCTAGCGGGGTCGTGGATAAGCACTGCTGAGGAGTCTCACAATAGAATGAAACGGCCGTCCAGTGCTTCCAGATTTTCAATGGTGGTCTAACACCAATCGGTTCATGATCTCAATCAAAAACTTAACAATCTCCACAATCCCTAAACTGATATCATAAATATGTCGACATTATTTATGATCAATTATTTATACATAAATTCTACCCGATTAAATTCTCATTGATTAGACAAAAATCTTATTATCTTAACTAATCTGTTTGAAACGAACAAATTTAATCCTACTGATTTATACTCTCTTTTGATTGGTTGATTGAAATGAATTCATATTTCTGCAATTAGCTGATTGGTTTGATTTTTTTCCCTAAATATTGCTTACTTTTAATTGGTTTGAAAATAATGATTTAATTAATTCCAGTGTATCATCAGTAAAGGAGTGTAAGATCGGTAGATTTTGAAGTAGTACATTTAAATATTATAACCATAAAAGTATGTCAACTACTAAACGAATAAGAAATTAAGAGATATAGTAAAGCTTTTATGAGTTACTATAAAATAAATGATATTTTGCAAGATGTTGGAAGTCGAAATCCTCCTTGCATCAGAAATTTAACTATTACTCTCCAATCTGTAAGAATTCATGTATTTTTTTTAGAAATAAACTTTATATTATGAAAAACACTATATATAGTACAAAATATCCTAATTGAGATGGTGATTTTTTTATACAGCTCAGATGAATGATTTTAGTAGAGTTTCGTACTCTGAACTGGATGGTTTGGATGATAAAACCAACTTACGAAAGTCGATCAACACCATTATTGAATATTACTGAAAACAAACAAAATATTACATTCCTAATGATTACATGTTCTACTTAAGCATGAATAAATATTTTGCCTGTTTTTTTGTGGAAAAACTACTTTTCGTAATGAGAATTTGAGTTAAAAGCTTGCATTATACCACTAATTAACTATGAATGTAAGCTGAGTTAATGAACCTTAAGAAGAAAATAAGACACGATATTATAATGAACATTTCTGTGATAACAAATATTTGATCGCTTTTTAACTGTTGATCTGCCCACTTTAATGATAGACCGAACTTAAATCTATGCACTTTTTAATGTGTATTTATTTGATTTTCCACGTTCTCAATACTCATTGGTCCTCATCAGTAAACATATATTTTGAGAGGATTGCTTCGTTATTGTTTATAGTTATAGTTAACTGTGAAATCCAAAGCACACTCTTCGTCCTATTAAATACACTTGTCAGGTTGCCTGTTTCGACGTTTTTGCTGGTATTCAAACTCAATATCTTTCTCTCTAAACGTCAGTGTGTTATTTATAGAGTTATTGAATCCATAAAGCCATCAACCCGTTCAGGGTGTATTTGTAATTGGGTTGTATATACATAAAACTGAAGATTTTTAAATAAAATGAAACGAGCATCCTAGATTCCCTTGTTAGCCAAAGTACAAATGTAGTGAACGAAGAAGTTAAGCTGAGGAGACCAATTTATAAGTTAATACAAAATTACAGAATGTCTTCGTAAAATACGAAAACATCTTTCATCGATTGTCTCTTACAAAATTTATCGTTCCTCCATTCCTGTTGTTATTACAAGTACTCTCAGTTTACAGTTCTGTTCTCTTCAATTCGACCTTCCCAACGTTTTGAGGCCAGGCATTTCACTTCTGATTGGTGTAGCATACTACTTATGTCTGTCGACGTAAGTAGCATACACCACACAAATACATAGTACATTCTTATTTTACGTTAAAATTTATAGACGTTATATATATGTATATAGTCAATCAGCGTTAAAATTGTTTCTTTTAAAACGCATTCATCCATTAAATGTGAGTCATTAAAATGAACTAAACATTTGAAGACTGGATTACTTTTCACCTAACATTTCTTATTTTCGTTTACTTATATCATACTGTATTCCCATTCTTTTTTCAACGTCTTTTCACCGTATTGACTATCAATGAAGATTATACAGGTAGAACCAAATAATATTGATTGATACGAATTATAGACAAGACTTTTGAAAAGTTCGAAATCAGTGAATATAAGATAAGAATAATAGTATTATATAACTGTACGATGTTTACCGACAAGTTATATCAGAATAAAATAACCAGTAATCTCGATCAGTGACAGAAATTTAGTGGTGATGGAGAACTCCAACAACTTAATAACAATAATTTTGTGATGACGGGATTGATTGTGACACTGAATGAAAGTGGATTGGAATAGCAAACATAATAATAATATCTTGTTGACACTAATGCACTGCTTAATCAAAACTATATGAAAAGGAAATACAGTAAATCCAAGCGCTTTTTTTACTTAAAACTTTTATTATAGATAATGAGAGTTATATCTACTTGTTCATACAATGACACAGATGTAGTCACTCTTTGTCTTCCATCAGATTATTAATTTTACATTAATCTTATGTTTCTTATCTTACAAATTTATTCATTTTTCTTGAATCATAAGATTTATTACTACATGGTTTTGTGGAGGTGTCCGAATTTTACAATGTACATTACGGAATAATCTTAATTAAGGAAACCATTGAAAATTGTAAAACAGTGATCTAAATGTTAGGTGTTCACTGTGATATATGAAGATTTTGGATTCATTACTTGGCAGGGTCATAGATGGATACTTGGACGAAATGATTGTCCAGAGCTTCCTGGTTTTCAATGGTTGTCTGGTGAAAAGTATTCCTTGATATATTGTTTAGTGTCTAATGTTTTTTTCACTACAACTGATGATGTTACTAATCTGACTATTTTCATATTTGTCGTAATAACTTTATCTTTTTGTGTTAATATGGTATAGCAACTTGAACCTATAATATATATGTATGTTCTACGTTGCTAATGCTTGTTTGATTGATTGACTGATTTACTGGAACATATTTGAAATAAATGAACAAACGTTCATTCAAGCATCTTATTAAAATTATATATATATATACATATATATATATATATACAATCAGTTTTCATTCACTGATTATAGATTTGAAAGAGAAATTAGTTAGTATTCAAAAATACTGAACAAATATTTTACAATACAGCTGTTAACAAGATAATTGTAATGCGTTTTTTCTTCTTAAAATGGTAAAAATTCAGAATTATAATAAATCATGGTGTATTTAATCTGTACATATATAACTTAATTAGTATCTAAGTTACCATCCACTAACTTAGATATTATGAAAATAACTAAAGTGTGATTCAGTAATTTAAAAAAAAGCTTCCAATGAAAATGCAATGTGCAAAATCGATCGGATGGATTTATAAGTTTCTTTGTACTAATAGTTTTGCGTTGATGCCTGTATATTGTCAAAACATCGTACAGTAGAATAAAGTATTTGTCCTAGTACTTCCTAGCTTATGTGAATGTTTAACTAAGGTCATTTTTCTATGACGTTAACTATAAAATCTTGAATAGTTAATTAGAATTAATATTAAAATTCGATTCTATGGGCTACATTCACTATTGAACAAGAATATATGTTTATGTAAAATATATTTATAACACTTTATTGTAACCAATGTTTGGCGACTCTAGGTGACATGACCCAGAATCGATCACAATAGCGTAGGTGTACACACTCTTTGTCTTTCCTTAAACTAAAATTACTTTATACCTTCCTTTCTGCGAACTAATTCTTCCTCCCTCTATTATATCCTGATATGAAATGTCTTTTTACTACCATTGACGTAACTGCTTTCAAGAATTTGGTGTTCATCTTGTTATGCTAATGAGGTGTGGCAACTTGGACCAATGCATATATATGCCTGGTCCTACGTTGGGACTAACTAAATGATTCTATTTTAAATCAAAATAATAATTATTATTATTATAATATATATATATATACTTAAAAGGATATTTATTTAAAACAATGACTTGCTTATAAATGAATAGTTTAATGGTTTTCAAGCATCACATGAAGTTTTGTAAAAAGTTTATTTCACCGACAAATGA